GTGCCACACGCTTAAACTCAATTTTTTTTCTTAAATAACTTCCTACGGGCATCCTAATAATATGTATATCGATTTTCATTAAAAAAGGAGAACTTAAAAAAACGACAGCTGTCAAATTTGACAGTTCAAATGTGAGACAAATAAAATGAAAACCGACTTTTTTTTCTTAAATAACTTCCTACGGGCATCCTAATAATATGTATAGTATCGATTTTCATTAAAAAAGGAAAACTTAAAAAAAAACCAAAGCTGTCAAATTTGACAGTTCAAATGTGAGACAAATAAAATGAAAACCGAGTATGGGGTAGGGGGCATCCAATATATCGATTTTTATCAAAATCGGACAACTTGGAAATTTTTTTGACAGCTGTCAAATTTGACAGTTCAAATTTTTTTTTCTTTCATTTTAGCCCATGGGCTATCCTACATATCGATTTTTATCAAAATCGGACAACTTTGAAATATTTTTGACAGGTGTCAAATTTGACAGCTCAATTTTTTTTCTTTCATTTTAGCCCATGGCCATCCTATATATCGATTTTTATCAAAATCGGTTGACTTTGAAATTTTGACATGTCATTAAACTGTCATTTTTTCAAGATGGGCGCCCATATATTTTTTTTTCATATGTATATACCCACAATATACCTATATATACAATTTCAGCCCGATCCATTCATAAATAGAATTTTAAAAAATCAAAAACCTCAAAACGCCGCCATTTTGAAAGCTGTCAAAAATTCGTGTCATGCCTTACAAAAAAATGTATTGTCATCGGGACTGAACCTACATGCCAAATTTCAATTTCCTACAATAAAAGGAAGTGGTTCTAATTTAGCTTACAAGATTTGCCCCAAACAAACATACATACATACTATAGATAGTTACATAGTTACATACAAAGCAAGTTAAATAAAAGCTTATAAAAATGCCTCGCAACACAGTTCTTCCACCATAAAAAGTTGTGAGATCTTATGTAAAACCAAAAGTCAGTTTATTTTATTTAGTCTCTCTTTAAGCACTTATTCAAAAACAAAGTTTTAAATTGTTAGTATCAATATTAGTCATCTTTATTTCTGTAATAATTATAATGACTTGGGAATTGCACAATATTATGGATATTCTATTCTAATTAAAAAACTTTATTTTTAAATGCGCTGTTTAGAATTTTTAAAATTATATACCGGGTGCGTCTCAAAAGTGACTCACCCCTATAACTTTTTTATTTTGTCAGTTAAAAAAAAACGAGATTTGGATGTTAGTATATGACATGAATTTGATTGAATCTGAATAGAATGACATATGACATATGTTAACATTTAACATTTTCATATGGTTTATTTGAAACTGTAACATGCGGTTCATAACGACAATTTGACTTGAGATACCAAGTATGTGTTTTTTAATTTTAACCAAATTATTAGTAAAAAAATACTTTTTCCAATTATGCTAATAAATCATAATAATTATTATATTTAATAAGATGTAAGTATTTGTTTTATTTTTACAATATCCCATCTGCGCTAAATAGGGTGGCCCTCCAAGTTGATCCTCCAGAGTTGTCATCTTTTATCAGACTTATTCTACCACGTGGTCTGATCGCTTCGGTAGCTTGGTCTGATTGCTCATCGGAATATTAAGGCGGAAATTGACTTGAGCCAAGCGTTGTAATACGAGTATTCAAAGTGGGGTGCGTCTCAAAAGTGGCTCACCCCTATAACTTTTTTATTTGTTCAGATTAAAAAAACGAGATTTTGTTTATTCGTATATCACATAAATTAGGATTGACTGACGTATTCAATTGTTTTTCGTCACTTCCTGTTTCACCGGAAACGATTACAACTTTTGATTTTTAAATGGCACCCTCAGTATATTTCTACTTAATTCGATAGAAAATGACACTCTGCATAGAATGACATATCATATGTCAACTTTTGACGTTCTCGCATATGGTTTATTTGAAATTGTAACATGCGGTTCATAACGACAATTTCACTCGAAATACAAAGTGTGTGGTACTAAATTATTAGTAAAAAAATGCTTTTTCCAAAAAAATATGCTAAAAATTGTTTTAGCATATTTGGAAAAAGCATAATATGCTAAAAAAATTTTTTAGCATATTTCGAAAATAAAAAATTATTTCTGAAAAAATTGAGATATGATTAAAAATTACGATTTGGGCATGTTTTAACCGGCCAGGACAAGACACGAAAACATTAGACGATCAAATCTATTTTTCCAAGGCGCCTTGATTAAAAATTAGTATTTTTCACAGAGCCATGGTACTCTAGATTGACAAAAGTTGACATATGACATGCCATTCTATTCAGAGTGTCATTTTCTGTCGAATAAAGTAAAAAAATACCGAGGGTGCCATTTAAAAATCAAAAGTTGTAGTTATTTCCGGTAAAACAGGAAGTGACCAAAAACAATTGAATACGTCAATCATGCGGTATAGAGTCTTTAAAATACTTAGTAATCGAAATGGTAGATTATTCTTTTATAATTATGGTGCTGTCCAATTGCCAAGTCATTATAACTATTACAGAAATAAAGATGACTAATATTGATACTAACAATTTATAACAAAATTGTTGAATAGGTGCTTAAAGAGAGACTAAATAAAATCAACTGACTTGGTTTTACATGAAACCTCACAACTTTTTATAGTGGAAGAATTGTGTTACGAGACTTGGTATTTTTTTACATTCTATGTTTTTGATGGGATCTCATTTCTTTTTGTAGGTTATCCCCCTATTTTTTCTCGGGTAATATGTCATTCAAATTAATAATAAAGTAGTATGACTAGCAATAATTCATAAACTCTGAATTATCGTATAAAGTCAGATAATATCAAATTGATTAATTCTAGTTTTCTAAGGACTTGTGTTTCCAACTTCGTTTTAACCAAAATTTCAACTTTAAAAATTTTCAATTCATGATTTTACCTTATTCAAAATCATGTTTTTGGCAATATTGCACCTATTTTACTTTTATCTCGAAAGCTATAAGACATAGGTATAGGTTAGTATAGTAGAAAAATTATGGGTGTAAAATATATTGGGTGTTCCATTTAAAATAACAATTATGCTACCACTTTTCAAATGATCCGGCAACACTGTAACGCTGATAATGTTTTAGATAGATTGAGCAGGTGCTTTTATATAAAAATCCAAAATCCAAATTTTCAAAACAATCCTATCACCGGTCCTCCTATTACCATCGCCGGAAAGTCGGTTATCGGTAGTGGCTAGACAGCTAACTTTTAATCCGTAGAGATATTTTGAGATTTTTCATTTTTTCCTTTGGTTATAAGCTTAAAACTCCCTAAAATTCGATATTTGAAGTTTGTGACACGCCTAGAAGTAGCTTAGAATGTTGATGATCTGTCAGTGAGTCAATGTCGAAATTAAAGAAATTTGACAAGCGATAATTCATAAACAATGAGGTATAATAAGTAGATATTTTGGTAACCTAGCCAGCTATAGTATGTAGTGATGGGAAAAACCGATTAATTTCAATAATCGAGTACTCGAGTTTCAAGCGATTGCAATAACCGAGTGATCGCTCGAGCGATATATCACTCGTATTATTTAAAAATACGGTTTTCCACCCGTCGCTTGTTGTAAGAACTCGTTAAGGCCAAGCGCCAAGCAGTAAGTTGCGTGCGCAGGGCACATATTCTTTCGGTGATGAATGGCAAGTAGTAAGCGGCGAGCTTGATCGCTTGATTTAGTTTATTTCAAAGCATTGTCGATGTAGGTCGTAAAATTTTGTCTCTCAGATACGCAACGGATAAATATATATACGGCGTCATATAAATTTGCTACCTGCAATGTATGTAGAAAATTGGCTCGGCTTTTTATCGAATATATGTCACATTAAAATCGGATTTCAATTTATTTCATTCTAGGATCGCTTGCTTTCGTCGCTAGGTATTCGTCACTTGCATCGCTCGTTCATAATCGAGCGATGTCGGTTATTTCAATAATCGAGTACTTACTCGAGCGAAATTTCGCTGGAGTGATCCCATCACTAATAGTATGTTTTCATGTGTAGTGAAAATTAATATTCTTGCTTTATCCACAACGAAGTTACAGGGTGGTCAAAAGTGCCGCTAATACCTTCGGGAAAAGGATGGCACGGCTGTGCTCGACTTGGCGGGTACACTGCCGTGCCCCCAGATATATTATCTAAGAGACGCCTCTGACAAACCTTCGCATTTAGAGCTAAATACATACCTAAAAGAAGCTTTAATTCAACGCTTATAAATTGAGAGGTAAGGAGATTTGTATAAACCACGATCTTTCCAAAAATGAGAGAGTGGTGAATAAAGTATTGAATGAGAACTTAAAAGAGACAAAGAAGAAAGGTTTGAGAGCGTACGTAAACAAAGGATCTCTTATAATCAGATAACGAAGTATTTACCGACGTTCCATCAAGACCTTTCCACACAATCCGATGTCTAATAACTAGTGATGGGATAACTCGACCAAAAATTCGCTCGAGTACTCGATTATTGAAATAACCGACATCGCTCGATTATGAACGAGCAATGCAAATGACGAGTACCAAGCGACGAACGCAAGCGATCCTAGAATGAAATAAAAAGCCGAATTTTCTACATACATTGCAGGTAGCAAATTTATACGACGCCGTATCTATATTTATCCTTTGCGTATCTGAGGGACAACCCAACAAACCAAACATTTTACGACCTACATCGACAATGCTTTGAAATAAACTAAATCCTAAATCAAGCGATCAAGCGAATCGCTCGCCGCTTGCTACAAGCCATTCATCACTGCGCACGCAACTTACTGCTTGGCGTTAACGAGTACTTACAACAAGCGACGGGTGAAAAACCGTATTTTTAAATACGAGTGATATTTCGCTCGAGCGAACACTCGGTTATTGCAATCGCTTGAAACTCGAGTACTCGATTATTGAAATTAATCGGTTTTTCCTATCACTACTAATAACAACTAAAATATAATTACTCTTTTTTGAGGCCTTCATATTCCGAATTTTTATCCCCTATGTCCTGATCGTACTTTGTAAGCCAGGTTTGAAGTTGAGTTTCCGTTTTTAGACGCTTAGCTCTTAAAATTTTCTCAGCCTCTAAGTGACTCTCCAATAGCGTGTCGTATTCCTTGGCTATGTTTTGAGCTTCTTCGGCAAGCACAACTTGTCTCTCTTCACTCTCCAGGCATTGATGCATCATTCTTTTCTCAGATTCGTGTCTAAAATATGATTAAGAAAGAACATAACATACGTAAAAATTAAAAACAAATTAAAAATAATCATACAGAAAGTTTGAAGCTTTTTGGTTTACCTTATTAAGTAATTGTTAATTTTGAAGTTTAACTTGATGAAAATGTAATTTTTACAGAATGTCAAAGTTTTTTGTACAGGGTGTCCCATTTTAGTTGAAATCATACGGTATCTCCGTTATTCGTGAAGATAGAAGGGTGCGGTTTGCACATTCCTGTGCCACTTTTTTGTCAAAAGGAAGATGCCGTAAACAAAATTTTCATTGCTCTCTTTGTTTCTGAGCTACAGGGTCTTTTTGAAAATTTTGCAATTTGGGACACCCCCGTATCTCTGTTATTGTTAAAGGTATTGAGACGGTGAAAACTGTTTATTGTAGAACTTTTTACGTAGAATACAGTGATGTAGTGTGTTATTCTACGAAAATAATATTTTTAAAGATATGAACTAAAGTTATGTTTTATTAAATGGAACACCCTGTATTTTTATAAATTATATGATCTGGCTTGTTATAAGCTTCTCAAAAATATATAACACTTTATATTTGTTTTTATTATTTAAGGCAATATTTAAAAAAAAAACATATTAAAAGATCATTTTTTTAGTAGGCCATGATTGATAATAAAAGAAACTAAAGAATTATTAAGAGTAATACTGCTATCTGTCTCTTGTTTTATTTTGAGAGCCACCAATTAATTCTTTGTATATTAGGGAAACTTAAATCTCTATCGCTATTTGTAAATCTTGGAAGCTATCGTATCGGAACTTTTAAATATTCCTTTAGCTAATTTACGTAAAATATACTTGCAGCAAGATGGGGCTCCCCCTCACAACTTAACTTACAACGAAAATATTAGAATTTTGTTAAATTATTATTTCTCAAATCAATGAATTGGAACCAATGTACCCATATGATGGCCTCCCTGATTCCCGGATTTGTCTGTTCTCGATTTCTGATTTTGGGGATTTTTGAAATATGAAATATATCGTGGCAACTAATACGATGTTGAACACCTGAAAAATGCTTTAATAATACAAGCTTTTAGATATTTGCAAACCCATCCCAGTATAATAAATTCCGTTATAAAAAAGAGAAAAATATATTTAGAAATTTATATAAAATTTTAATGTGTGCATGTCTATTTTAGTAAATACCATTTTGATTTTATTATTTATCACGGCCTACTAATAAGAAAATGATATATTTTAAATATTGCAGTAAATAGTGAAAATAAATATAGAGTGATATATATATATATTTGAGAAGCTTATATCAAAGCGGATCATATGATTTATAAATATACAGGATATTCCATTTGAAAAAACATAACTTTTGTTCATATTTTCAAAAATATTTTTTTCGTAGAAAAACAGACTACGCCTCTGTATTCTACGTAAAAAGTTCTACAAGAATCAGTTTTCACCTTTTCGATATCATCCATAATAACGGAGATACGGGGGCGGTCCCAAATTGCAAAATTTTCGGTTTGCGCAAACCGCACCCTTCTATCTTCACGAATAACGGAGATACCGTATGATTTCAACTAAAATGGGACACCCTGTAGACGTATCTGTTTCTATAAGTGCAAATAATTTCAGTGCTGGTAGATCTCGAGAAAAGAAACATATTTTATCTTTATCGTTTTTCAAATAAATCTAAAATAACCGAGTAATTTTACATTGAAAATTTCACACCTCTACTTTTCAACCAATAACATGCTTTAATGTTGACTAGTTACCATGGCAACTGAAAAAATTTCCGGAAATTTTTTCGAGGCGCCACGAAACTTTAGTGGAAATTTTTTGACAGTTGAAAAGGTAAACATAAGATCTACAATCATAATGTGAATGAACTACAATGTCTATATATTGAAATATTACCCATTAACTAAGGTTGGTAATATTTTTTATTTAAGGAAATATGTTAGATATACCTACATATGAATTTCTTCGAAATTGCCATGTTCTAAAAAATATAGTTCTGCCGCCTTTATTTAACTAAAGCTGGTATTTTTCTATTTAACGAAATATGATGGATATATCTATATGATTTTTTTAGAATTTATTTCATGTTGAATTATCTTCAATGCCAAATCTTTAATGATATCGACTAATATAGCAAAATAATAACGAAACACATTTAGTAATTATAGGTTTTATTAATATTAAAAACACAATTATTGTAAATGTTTGTAGGCTGGCTTGAATTGGTGGTTTGAATCTGGGTATTTTCTGTTTTATTTTGCATTGTGCTCTGATCATGATTGAACTGGCTAGTACTTGATGAAATGCTCCTCATGGATTCAATCATCTGTTGATGATGTTCAGCGTCCAACTGTAAGTAAGGTTTGATCGACTGACTATTACTATGTCCAGTAATTTTAATGAGCTGTTGTTCACCAACTCCTTTCTTGGCCAAATTCGAAACAGCTGTTGCTCTTGCAGAATGATTGGTTATTTTAACTTTTTTAGTGTCAATTCCTATATCTGAAGCTGCTGATTTAAACCATGAAGATACAATGTTCTTACCAACTGGGCTATTCTTGTACCATCCTTTCGAATTGGGTTGATTCCAGTATGGGTTTGGTGTTAAGAATAGTCTGTCGGTTTGAATAAGATTTCCCCTTTTTTCCATCAACTTTCTAAACAAGCGAACCGGACACATTTGTGGATTTTCGAAATTTCTAATCAACCATTTACTATCCGACAGTTTTTTAGAACCACCTTGTGTGGTTTTAGAGAAAATTGGATTATATTCTATCCGACCTTTTGGGTTTCCGAAATTATCAGTTTCTTCTTTGAAGTATTGGATACAAGCAGAATGTCCTTCCCCTCCTCTCCATGCCAGCTCATGTGAAACTATGTGAAAAAATTTACGCTGCAACCCATCTGGAGTATTTTCATCCCACATTTCAATAATTTTTTTGTATTCGTCACTGGTTAAGGCTGAAGCACTCACTTTTCTTTTTGCTGAATCTCTCTGTAGTATTTTGCGCTTAGCATCGCGTGCAGCTCTGGCGGTCACAAATTCCACATCAGAAAACGGATTAAATTTTATTTTATATTTTTCGTAATAAATTTCTTGCAACTGCTTAGCAGTAGAGTTCCACATCACTTTGACCACACTTTCCTTATAATCTTCAAAATTTTTCTTTTTCATATTAAATGCGTAGTCCTCCAGTATAGTAGCCAGCTGTACTACACTCATACACTCATGAATATTATACGACTTTTCATCACAAAATTCAACAAACTGTTTCCATACACTTGATTTTGATTTTCGGGTGTTATCTGGTTTTATATTTTCAATTTCTTCTTTAATGACTTGTTGGTTTACTTTTCCAAATCGCGACATTTCGCTATACACTTCTTACTCTACGTACAGACGTTTTAAAACTAGTAATAGCTTAATGACAGAATCGCAAACAAAAATGACAAAACACATAATATGTCAAAAACATCAATACCTTGGCCAACTTAACTACGTACAGACGTTTTTAAAACTAGTAATAGCTTAATGACAGAATCGCAAACAAAAATGACAAAACACATAATATGTCAAAAGAAACATCAATACCTTGGCCAACTTACAAATTGAAATTATTTTAAAATGTCATGTTGGATTAATATTTTTTTTTCAAATTTAGGTGTGAAATTTTCTTACCGAATACCACGCAAGCTTAAATTATTCCTGGAAATTTTCTTTCGGGCACGAATATTTTAGGAAAATTATCCCTCGTCTTCGACTCGGGATAATTTTCAAAATATTCGTGCCCTCAAAAAAATTTCAGAAAATAATTTAAGCTCTTGTGATATTATAAGTGAAAATTTTCAAAAAAAATATTTTTTGCTAAAATTTTAAGAACCACTGGATCTTTTGTGGATTTTCTTTCTTGTAAATTAAATTTACTACCTATGTTGTCATATTATCAACAAAAAAAAATTCCAAAATTTTTTTTCAAAAAATTCAAAATTTTCCAAAAAAATTCTTCGCGAAAAATACCTCATAATCGTGTTTCTGGGGTTCAAATATACTACCTCTAAAAATATTTGCACTTATTTAAGACTATGCATCACCAAAAAAGCACATAAATAATTGAGATTTTTCACATGCCATGTATAAGACTTTAATAATTACAATTACTTACATGTCTTTCTCTATGCTTATTTGAAACTCCTCCTTAAGCTTAGCTATTTTTTCATTGTACATCTTAAATGTATCGACTTTCTGATTAAGTTCATCTCCTAATTCTTTTCTTTGAATTTCTAGTTGTTGTTTCAAATCTATGAAAACAAAATAATAAAACCACAATAAATAGAAGTCATAAAAATTAAAATAAATAGAATAAAATCTAAACCAAATTTCTATACAGGGTGCTACAAATTCGAGGTACGAGCATTGGTATCTCGGAAACCGTAATAGATACGAAGATAGTTAAATTGGGGCAAAGTTGCACCTTGGGCTGTTCACCAAGATGCCATCAAAAGTTTTAAAAATTTCAAGGATTGCTGAGTTTTTTGGAAAAGACGGAGTTTTTTGAAAAGTAATTTAATTTTTTCCTGTCGTTACTTTTTAAAAAATCAAAAAACTAACTGCACATTCTCATAGCCACTTTATCAGGGTTATCTGATAGTATTTTTAGATTTTCAAATTAGCTTATAATTTGTGAGATACCAACCAACCAAACCAAACCAATTTTTTTTTTTAAATAAGGACCTGCATTTTTATTTCAAATTTTGAAAGAACTCAGTCTCCTGAGTACAATGATATGCCACACTTTATACTTTTTTTGTTTGGGGTACCTTTAACAGCAACAAAACTATTTAATTATTATTTAAAAAAATCAAGTCCGACTCTGTTTTTTTAAATTATTTAATCTGTTTATATTCATCGCAACAATATTGATCAGAGCCAATTGAAAGATTCAAATAAATAATATCCAGATCACCAATTTAAAGATATTATTTTTAACTTTTCTTATTGTGAATTTGAAATTCTCAGTGTACGATCTAATAATTTGCATAATATTAATCGTAGTTAATAGAATAAATTAACTTCTACAAACTAGTTTCTAATGCTTTACATAGTCTACATGTTCGAAAAGGTTACCACCCTCCCTATTGCACAAATTTATTTTTCGTTCAATTTTATTTATAGCTTTTGAATAGATCTTCTTATACTTTCGAATGCATTTTGTACTCTTTATTGTAACTACCGAGATATGTTGATTTCACTTTCTTATAAAATTTGGACCTGTCGAATTACTTGACGTCATCAGACGGTCCAGGTATCTCGCTGGTCATTATACTGCTCTACCATTTCCAATCCATTTTCCGGGGAAATGATTTGATTGTTTATATTACATTTTATTTATATTACTTTTTATTATTTTATTGCGTTTGATTTTCCGTATTCAACCCACGTCACTGTTCAGTTTGTAAGCGTATCAATATTGTAACGATGAATATATTAAATATTAAAAAAAACAGAGCCGGACTTGAAATGGGTTTAAATAAATTGTGTCCAAATTTCCAAAACAAAAAAAAAATATTAAGTGTGGCATATCATTGTACTCAGGAGAGCAAGTTCTTTCAAAATTAGTTTAAATAAATTGTTTTCAAATGTCCGAAACAAAAAAAAGTATGGCATATCATTATACTTAGGAGACCGAGACCGAGTTCTTTCAAAAAGTGAAATAAAAAATGCAGGTCCGTATTTAAAAAAAATTAAGTTGGCCTCCGTATCTCACAAATTATCAGCTGATTTGAAAATCTAAAAATACTCATATAATATATAAATCATATAGTCCTAATAAAGTGGCTATGAGAATGTGCAATTAGTTTTTTGATTTTCTAAAACGTATTGACAGGAAAAATAAAATTGATTTTCAAAAATATCCGCTTTTTCCAAAAAACTCAGCAATCCTTGAAATTTTTAAAACTTTTTTGTTGGCATCTTGGTGAACATCTCAAAGCGCAACTTTGTCCCAACTTAACCATGTTCGTATCTATTACGGTTACCGAGTTACCAATGCTCGTACCTCGAATTTTTACACCCTGTATATAAATTAGAATATTATATTTTTTTCAATATGCCCTGGAGCGCCTCGGCATAAAAGCAGTTCATCAGCACACCTAATATTTGTTTTTGCATTATTCATAATATAATTTTCTCTAAAACGGTTTGGAAATTTGGAAAAGTATAAACGGGATTAACTATTTTAGAACAAGCAAATTTTTTGAAGAATGTATTTTTCTCAAAATGATAATAATAAAAAAATCCTCTTGTAAAGACAATCCGAGGACATACTGTATATGTACTTCTCATTCATTGAGTGAGTTATTATTTCTTTCGAACCGTATTAACCTGATGCTTTCTATAGATTATTACCCAGAAACATACATATTCATTCGTGTAAAAAAAGTTTTTCTTCTTGTAAAGACAATCCGGAGACATACTGTAAAATATTTGTTAGAAAGCATAATTATAATTGCACAAATCAAGTTAAAGGTATAAAATACAATATAATAACACCGCCACTGGATATTTCAATATTAGTCAATATTTCTACTAAACTGCCCGTCAAATTAAATACCACAGCTATTTTTTTACTCATTTTCAGCGAGTTGTAACTTTGAAAAAAATGGACCGATATTGTTGATTTTTTTAGCATATTAAAGATGGGTTTTTCGTAGATTGACCTGATTTTTCTAAATTTTGTATGAGATTTAGTTTTCTATGATATACAGGCTGTGAAAAAAGGGAATGTAATTTTTGTATTGCTGCCATTTTGCAAAAAAAAATTAACTAGAATTATAAGTTCTGGGTATAGCTAAGACTAATATCTCGAGAGGTATTTGGAATTTTTACGATAACTCATCTGGAATAAACGATAATCAAAAATTCCGATACTGTTTTGTCCAGTCCCTTTCTGGTTATACGTGCCCCCAAATATTTAAACGATTCAACCTGTCTGAGCTTTGCATTGTCAGTAATAAAAATGTCAAATTTATCTTCTGAATTGGTCACTAGGTATTCCGTTTTATCAATAATATTCAAAGTAAGGCCCCATTCCCTGTATGCCGAATTTAACCTGCTCATCATGAATTCAAGGTTGTAAGAATCTTGAGCTATGACCACTTGACCATCGGCAAAATTCAATGTAACCAAACAGTCATCTCCTACAGGGACGCCCATTCCCCCACACCTCTTCTTCCAGTCCCTAAGAACCACTTCCAAATACAGATTAAATAAAAGAGGCGACAGAGGACATCCCTGTCGAAGGCCTTTAGTTGTAAAAATTACCTCAGACAGTTTGTTACCGCTCTTAACATGAGCTGTGTTGTTATTGTACAGCACCTTAATTAAATTTATGATAATTAATTTTTATAATAAATGTTGTCCTTTATTATCCTTTATTATTTGACAATTATCCTAATGTCAGTCATTATTTTGTATAATATCGTGTTTTTGTTGAATCTTTGTGAGTAATTTTGTTTTTTTTTCTACTCTCATAGTCTTTTTTTTTAAATTGCACTTTTAAGTACAAACAGTTCTTTTAAGAACTAAATTTTCGAGTTTTTGTATTGCATTTCTTGAAATTGTATGTTGAAAATATGCCGAAGCATTTAAACAGTCGAAGCAAAGAGCTTGTAGCTTATTCCCTGTTTTTTTTTAACTATTTTGAAGGAGAACGTGACAATAAAGGTCCTTTATTATCCTTGACTGCAGTCAGAAAAGTAAGTTTGATTGATAAGCACATTATACCACTTTCAAAGTTATAGGTTTTATTAAATTTTGTGATTATTAGTTTGTGCATAAATAACACCCTCTTACTTGTTATTAACACTTATGGCGTTGTAAGATTGTACATTGTATGTACATCAATAAATAAATCATCCATAATAACGCTTATAATTAGTGATGGGATCACTCGAGCAAAAATTCGCTCGAGTACTCGATTATTGAAAGAACCGACATCGCACGATTATGAACGAGCGATGCAAGTGACGAGTACCAAGCGACGAACGCAAACGATCCTAGAATGAAATAAATTGAAATCCGATTTTAATGTGACCTACTCGATAAAAAGCCGAGCGAATTTTCTACATACATTGCAGATAGCAAATTTATACGACGCCGTATACAGGGTGGTCCGAACTGTATTCCGGAAACTTCGACAGCATATTCTGCAGATAAAAATAGGTAAAAAAGTTCGTATAAATGTATGTCCTAAAATGCTTAGTTTTGGAGATACAGGGTGTAGAAGTTTCATTTATAAACGGTTTTATTTAGCTCGACCCGTACGGTATTTATTTATTTGTTTGTTTATTTGGGTCAAAATTAGAAATTGAAATTTAAGTACCTTCCTGTTGTCAGATTGATCTGAAATTTGGTACACACCTTTAGTTCCGATGACAATACAATATAGTAATATCAATAAGATTGTAAATCTAAGATGGCCGCCGGTACAAAATGGCGGATTTCATATTTTTCTACAAACCTTCAATATGGGTATCAAATGAAAGGGCTACACTAGTAGAATACTGTGATTATGACAAAATTTAAAATCCAAGATGGACGTCGTTACAAAATGGCGTATTAGGTGAGGGCATGAGTAGTCGTGTCCAAGATTGTGTGACGTCAGAAACACCTGAGCGTCATGAGTCTAGGCTAGCATCAGAACGCGAGAGACAGAGAGAGTTGTTAGCGTCAGAAACACCTGAGCGTCAGATTGTAATAAATTATCAGGTATAAAACCATGTAATAATGATGCACTAAATGAATTAAATAGAATGAGGAATATTCGGTAGGCATTTCCGTTAAATACTAAAAACTAGAAAATACAAAAATTGGTAAAAAAACTTTTAAGTTAAACGGTTTTATCTTATGTGCACTGAAAACTAGAAAATAATAACAATTAGGTATTTTGAACTTCTAGTTCAGAAATATTTTAGTACTAGGCAGAATAGCTTTTAGGCATATTAGACTAAAAATAAAAACGTGGGGCCCATTAACTATTGCTGTAATACTTTCTTCTATACTAAGTGTGGATTGCATCGACTTACTATAATCGTAACTGGAGATTTTGACAATCAATAACCAGCCGTGGCGGCTTCACCAGCGAACGCCGAGCTCATGATCTACCAAAGTATAAAGATATGCTTTGCCATAGGTAGGATTTCAGAGGGGCCCCACGTTTTTATTTTAGTCTAATATGCGTAAAAGCTATTCTGCCTAGTACTAAAATATTTCTGAACTAGTTCAAAATACCTAATTGTTATTATTATTTTCTAGTTTTCAGTGCACATAAGATAAAACCGTTTAACTTAAAAGTTTTTTTACCGATTTTTTATTATTTCGATTTTTTTCCAAATAATTTCTGCAGTAACGTCAATATTTGGATTAAAATTGGTGTCTGGAAGTTTTTTGACATGAGAAATTTGATTTTGATATCAATATGACTCCTACTAGTAGAGGTACTAGTAGAGGGCGCCACCTACATATTTTTTCACTGGTTTGAAGAGTAATAACTTTTTGACCGTACCTGTATAAAACTACTGAGTAAAAAAATATACATTTACAACGCTTTTTACGTAAAAAAGGTCTCTTGGTAAAAATCGCTATGAGTAATGGTTTTTGAGATATTTGGAATCGAAATTATCAATACCTGTCATCACTGACATAAATTAGTGTTGACTAAATAGTTATTAGACTGAAATTATAAATTTGAAATGTTTTTGTGCCAAAAGTTCAATAGAAACTGTTTTGTCATCATTTTTTGCAGAAAAATTTATCATTAATTAAAAAAAAATAAAAATTTCCCAAATTTATTTATTTCAGTGAAATAACTATCTACTCAACGTGTTTATTTTTCGTCAATAATGGCATGTATTGACTATTTTCATTCTAAATATCTTGAGAACGGTTGCTCGTAGCGATTTTTACAAAGAGATATTTTTTACGTAAAAAATCATAGAGATGTACATTTTTTCCCTCGGTAGTTTTATACAGGTACGGACAAAAAGTTATTACGCTTCAAAACAGTTGAAACACATGTAGGTGGCGCTCTCTACCAGTAGGAGTCATATTGACATCAAAATCAAATTTCTCATGTCAAAAAACTCCCAGACACCAACTGTCATCTAAATATTGACGTTACTTCAGAAATTATTTGGAAAAAATCCAAATAAAAATGAAATTTCTACACCCTGTATCTCCGAAATTAAGCATTTTAGGACATACATTTATACGAACCTTTTTACCTATTTTTATCTGCAGAATATGCTACCGAAGTTTCCGGAATACAATTCGGACCACCCCCAAATAAATCAATTAATCACCCGGTGGTGCGTCTCAAAAGTGGCTCACCCCTATTACTTTTTTATTTTTTTAGATAAAAAAAAATGAGATTTGGTATGTTAGTATATGACATAAATTAGGATTGATTCACGTATTCAATTGTTTTCTGTCACTTCCTGTTTCACCGGAAATGACTACAATTTTTGATTTTTAACCCTTGGCACCCTCGGTATTTTTTTTACTTTATTCGATAGAAAATGACATTCTAAATAGAATGACGTATCAACTTTTGACATATTCGCTTAAAAACAAATTGTATTTTAAATTTCAATCTAGAGTACCATGGCTGTGTTAAAAACACTAATTTTTAATCAAGGAGCCTTGGAAAAATAGATTTGATCGTCTAATGTTTTTAGTGTCTTGCCCTGGCCGGTTAAAAGATGCCCAAATCGTATTTTTGATCATATCTTAATTTTTTTCAAATGGACTACTACTTGCCGTTCTTTACCGAAAGAATATGTGCCCTGCGCACGCAGCTTACTGCTTGGCGCTTGGCGTTAACCATCGTTAACGAGTACTTACAACGTGCGACGGACAAAGAACCGTATTTTTAAATACGAGCGATAATTCGCTCGAATGATCACTCGGTTATTGCAATCGCTTGATACTCGAGTACTCGATTATTGAAATTAATCGGTTTTTCCCATTACTACTTATAATAATCTTCATAATGGACTAGTTTTTGCCAATATGTAATAAGTAAAATAAGCTAAATCAATTAATCACTAAAATATTAGTTATTAAATTAAAAATAAAACGTAAAACTATCTATAAAATGATATAATAAATACGTTGTTTGTCAATTTTAAATTAAGATTCATCTCATAAATCCATCACAATCTAGAAGCGCTGTCGCCATCGCTTGTGACTCAAAGTTGATCACGTGCATCGGAAATTGTTTTGCGTTTACCATATATAATTATGTCTGTTGGAATAAAGTTGGAATGAACTAAAAGTATATTAAATTTATAGGTAATATCGAGCAATTTAGGTTTTGTATAGTTAAACTCGACAATATCGATTTGTTTTGTCCGCATTCATTTCGCTGCTTCAAATCCGTTTGTCAGAAAATATGTTTATGGTTTGTCAATACTCTATAGCAATGGTTAAAATTAGTGATGGGAAAAACCGATGAATATTAATAATCGAGTACTCGAGGTTCAAGCAATTTCAATAATCGGGCGATCGCTCGAGCAAAATTTCGCTCGAATTTAAAGCTACGGTTTTTTGCCGCCGCTGTCGCTTGTACTCGTAACGCCAAGCAGTAAGCTGCGTGCGCAGAGCGCATATTTTTTCGATGATAGTGCCAACCGACGAGTAGTTTCGCAAAGTTTCTGCAATGTATATAGCAAATTCGCCCGATAGGATCGCTTGCGCTCGTCTGCGTAACTTGCATCGGTCGTTCATAATCGAGCGATGTCGGTTATTTCAATAATCAAGTACTCGAGCAAATTTTCGCTCGAGTTATCCCATCGCTAGTTAAAATAAAATTATGATCTTCACCAGTAGCACAGTAGACATTATCAGACATTACCTCGAATAGCAGCAGTCAACATAATGTTTGATTTAAAAGCTTGTCTTAGTCTCTTATCTCTTGCCTCTTCTTCGGTTCCGGTTACGTACAACTTCACTTCCGCTACTTCTTTCAATTCTTCAAAGTCCTTAATGAACTGAGTAATGAATGGGATGGTCTCTGGATGACGTGCTTTGCTGATAGCGTTCCGTATACATTTGTTGTTGAACAGCAAATGAACAATTTGTGTTAAATTGGGATCGCAATCGATATCGTCACAAGCTTGTTTTGTCATTTTTCCTTTCTAAAAAAAGTGGTAGATATTTATTTTTTCTTATAGAATATACACAGTGTTTCAAAAACATGTGCCATCTCTCGTGGGGAAATTCCTCACGTAAAAATAAGATTTAGCTTAGTTCGTAGCTACAGGAGGTTAAAGTCTTCGTTTCTTTTCGATTTATTATAATTTTCTTTCAAATGCTTCAAGTGATTTGAATGAAATTTGGATTCCCATCCATGATTATAGAAACATTTTTTCGTATTTTTGATGAGAAACCAATTAATACTTTTTTTTAGAAAAATATTCCAGTGATAACCCATATGCAAGTCCCTTGTGAATATGTCGACACCTGTTTAGCATTAAAATATGTTGCACTTATAGTAACTTTTACCCCCAAAATTTCATTCAAAAAACATGAGCGACTTAACTAATACGGTAATCAGTGGTGTAGCTATCATAGGACAGTTCGGTGCAAAGCACCGGTGCCCCACAGGAACTTGGAGCCCCGCAGAGCCCTTCAAAAAAATATATAATAAAAAATATTAGGCAGTCTTTTGGTTTTGTTCTTTACTCAGGGGCCCCCAAAAATATCTTGCACCGAGGCCCCCAGTTGTCAAGTTACGCCACTGACAGTAATATCCTGTATGTTTTGATAAAAAAAAAGATTTTATATGAATATGGCTTATTGTTGACGCCTACCATAAATTAAATATTCCCTGGCAATAGTTACGGAGAAGGCGCGATTCTCTATAACGTACCGCCATCGCCACCGTGACGTCGCGCGTCGCCTCGAGCCGCCGCGCCCGCCGGATTGCCGCCGGCCACTACAGTAAATATGCCCAACCACAAAACACATACACAAGAAGAAGTGCTAGCGCCTTGCTAAATATTGGAAAGTGAAATTGACGTTTAAATTTGACACTGTTGACAAGTCTACTGCTACTAGCGCCCCCAATTTCGCTTGTAGGAACTACGGACTAGATTGTCACGTATGGCGGGAAGTTTAAAAAAATAAAAAATGTTAATTGTTTATTTGTTTTTAATTATGACATACATAAAAACACGAAAAATACACCATTTTTTAAAAATATGTTTAATATCAATATCAAATATACAACAGAAATTAATTTCACCACAATAAATTATTAAAATTAAAAGAATAATGTTACAAGTACAGATCAAGAGACAAAATTAATTATAACAAAACTGAAAAAAATGGCGTCATAGATGGCTTAGAAATGAAGATATATATCATAATTTTGAAAGTAAAATTATACGGGAAATGTCATCGATCATCATTTTTAAGCCAACTGGACGATTATTTCAAACATACAAGCTGAGTTCGTTCATAGTGCTCTGGGAAATCTAGATAAACAAAGAATAATAAATTAAAAGCATTCCAGAGAGGAAAAACCTGTATCGTCTCTGATATCTGTCAGGGTATTGTTGAAAGTGTCATCTTTTTGCTAGAAGTTTTCAGGTCGATCAAAAAGATGACATACTTTGCCATAACTTTCACAAATATCAGTTGAGCTGGCGGTTGCCTTGTAGCAGAGCCATCATAAAACAAGAAGAAGAGTACAGGTATTTTCTCTCTTTTCCTCTGGGATGCTTTATATCTGTTGTTCTTTGTTTATCTATATTTCTCAGAGCATAATGCCGAACACGACTACAGTATATAATTTCAATATCCTAAGTGGAAAGAAAAAAGATCACCTTTCTGTTTTGTATTATGGTCCCTTTCTTCCGATGGCTCATCTCGTTGATATTTAGGAAGGTATCCATAAAATATATATTTAACTATCGGTCCTGGGATGAAAAAATATAAAATTCAGTTTGATTTGATGATCCTTTTCTGTCACCTAAATCAGGAGAATGATAATGAGCATGTTAAGATGAAAAAAATATATTTATCCACACTTACCTAAACGTTAGTCAAAGGAGTTTTATCAAAAACCTATATTTGCCTAAATATTTTATGTATAAATGGTGGGTTCATACAGCCAAATAAAATAAAATAAGAATAAAATAAAATAAAATAAGAAAGTTGGTTATATGGGATACCGTACATGCGTTCATACAGCCAAATAAAATAACAAATAAAATAAGAAGTCTTTATCTTTTAACTTCTTGTTTTATTTTATGTGAAAACTGAAAACGGCTTTGCGCACGCTTAATTCTAACCTACAAATATTTTCAGTTTGGATTTAATTTATTTTATAATTTCACATAAGTAAAATGTATAATATAGTAGGCAACGAATAAATAAATATACTATAAATAGTAAAATTACTATAAACAATCGTAAAAGTTAACTTTTATCCAGCCTCATCGTACTGCGCATGAGCAAATATATATTTCTTATTGTATTTTATTTGACTGTATGAACGCACACAAATAAGAATTCCTTATTTCTTATTTTATTTTATTCTTATTTTATTTTATTCGGCTGTATGAACCCACCTTAAATTTGCAAAGCAAACTGCAGCGTGTAAACAAAAGAAATAAAATGGCGACAAGTCAACGACCCGACAAAGGAGAAAAGTGGTGTTCGAATAACAAATTATGGGTCACCAAAAATGTTTTTTGTCTCCTTTCAACGCACGCTTTAGAAAGAAAAAGAGATGAACTCAATTACTGAAAGAACGTCAAGGTTTTATCTGTCACTCTTGTCAATAATTTATCGGTAAGGAAGATTCCTAGAAAATCGCTTGTAGCCAAGTTATGAACCATTGCTAGTTCTCCCATAAGAAGTGTGCCCTGTGTGCCACCTGTGCCCAACAATGAACATATTCATACTACCCGTAACGTCGTCGTCGCGTCGCGCGTCGTGGCAACGTCCTCCCATTTACTTACATGCTTCCTTACATTACTTTACATGCTTCCTGTCGAGACGGCGCGGCGCGGCTGTTCAACGTGACGGTAACGGTACGTTTATGGAGTGTAGAGCAACCTCTACACTCCATAGGTACGTTATAGTGAGAATCGCGTCGCAACCATATTTTAATATTTTTTATTTTTAAAAATGCAAGACCGTAAGAGTTTTGTATGCTGGTCTTGGTCTTGCGTCAGTCTTGCATGGTCGGTCTTGGTCTTGCAGATAAAACGCTAGTCTTGGCCTAAGCTTGATTTTTATGCATCCGTTATCCGTTGATCGTTGATACGATGGTCCGACAGCGCTCTGATTGGTCATAGCGTTTCGCGCCACTTTCCATCCGTAAATTTTTTACTCCAGCCCGCCAACGGAGAAAGATCGTATGACAACGGATGTTTTGACACTTTTTTTGACAAATTTAATCTAACCCAATCTAATCTTACTAAAAAATATAATTGTACATGAGCCAGCAACGTCGGGAAAAAGAGCATTTTAAGAAAGTTGGTTCTTTAATATATCTTTTGCTATGTTCCCCTGACCAAAATGCGAGCCGTCTGGCTGCCGGTAAACTACAGCTGTTCACTACTGCGCATCACATCTGTAGAGGGTACATACACATCGGTACAGTTGCATTTTCGTGTGTTTCATGGAATTTCTCGTTTATGAGTAGAGATACAATGATTTAAATTACTTTGCTACTTTTTTATGAAACTAAATATTCTACACATATGTTTGTCCTAGCTTCCTTAGTTCCTGAAATACAGGGTGAATTTGTGGTGCGCAGTAGTAAACAGATGTTGAATACAGATATGATGCGCAGCAGTGAAGGCACCGTCTTCTGGCAACCGCACTCTGTTCAGGAGATCATAACAAAAGATATATTAAAGAACCAGCTTTCTTAAAATCCACTCCCGAAAACGTTGCTAGCTCTTAGACTATAAGCAAAACAGTGAAAACGTTATGGAAATGAAAATATAAAATGACACTAATCACAAGCAAATCGTACATACGATGAACGGAGGCATGAAAATGCAATAAACTTAAAACCTGCGTAATTTTCTAACCAATCGAAGTCTTGAAATTCAACCAATAAAACTAATATCGTATCGTCGGATATCGGATGTATGAAAATCAAGCTTTAGTCTTGTATGTTGTACAAGACCAAGACCAAGACCGCAAGACCAAGACCAGTTTCGCCTATAACATGTAATTATACGCTCATTTACATATGTAATTATTTTATTCTATATGTGTCTTTTTGGAATAGATGGTTGATTAGCTTACCTTAATATTGTTAATCGATTCATACATAAACGTGCATTGACTTTCTAAAACATTCTGGTCAGTGGACATTGATTGGTTATAAAGACTGAAAATTAAAGCAATAAAATCTCTTTCTTCGGGTATAAAACTCTCCACTATTAATTCACCTTTGTTCTGTAGTATGAATGGGAGATGAGCCTGAAATTATTTAATGTTCATTCTTAATTTTATATACGTAGTACACAAAACCATTAGAAAATTATTTTTGTGTTCGTCAAACCCAGAAGTTTTTCTTGTCACAACAAAATTATCATTAGAGATGTTGAAAAAGTAACTATTACTAGAGTACTCTTATCGATGCCCGAAGTAACGAGTAACGAAGTTTAAACCATACGATTACTTTGATTACTATAACTACTTAAATAGCCTCTACACTAGAAACAGGCCAAGGTCGCATGTCGCATTTCGTCGCTCAAGTTTGTCGCATTTCGATTTATTTCCAGTTGTCTTGACCCACTTCGGTTTGCCTCGACCTACTTTCGACTCTTAAAAGCGCCTGAAAACTACTCGTGAGGAGGGCGTGGGGAGATTTTTTTGGCGTTTTTTGTTTCCCCGTTCATTTTGTTTCGTTTTGAGCTATTTCCAAAACGTGGCGGTATCTGTACCCGAGGCAAAGGATTTTTTTTCATAAATCTCAGTGTAAGTAAACCTAGATGTTTCTAAAATAGCTGTTGCTACCATGATATTTCGTTAATTACATCTCGTTTTATGTTGATATATATTCCACCATTATTTTAACACGCGTTTCTAATATGTATATATTAGGAACACAACTTTTCACTTAAACTGCAGGAATATAATTACAATATTTTGATGATTTAATTTTATTATAATGAATCAGTATATAAAATAGAATATGTTATGTTTGTTTACGCGGCCTTAATTGATTAATATAACAGTAGTATTGCTTGATGAGTAATATTGTCAACATCATAAATATATCGAGCTGACTGGGAAAATTATTGACTGACCCGATGTCAATAAAAGATATTTTTATATACGCGGCCTTAATTGATTAATATAACAGTAGTATTGCTTGATGAGTAATATTGTCAACATCATAAATATATCGAGCTGATTGGGAAAATTATTGACTGACCCGATGTCAATAAAAGATATTTTTATATACAGGGTGTCCCAGAAATAAGTGCGAATATTTTAACTGGTAGTATAGTTCAACCCCAGAAACACGCCTATGAGGTTTTTTTGCGAAAAAAAAATGTTGAAAATTTAAAATTTTTCTTGACATTTTCCGGGAAATTTGAAAAAACTTTTTAGTGCCACTTGTTTATTCACCTGAGATTTCCCTACGGTGTATCTAAACCTTGCAGTGTTGCAACCTCCTATGTTATCGACATTCTACACAGTTCGGCGGAACATAGTTCTACATTTATAAATTCATAGACAAATTTCTACTCAAAAAATTAGTTAGGAATGTTAAATTTAATCTTTTATCAGTGCTCATTATCAATAATGATAGAAAAAAAACACATTAATTATTTTTAGTACTTACCCTTTCAATGAAAACTTAACAAAAACCACCGAATATTAACTAAAACATTACGTTTATGACGTTTACGAAAATCTTTGTTATGCTGCAAAATAACTTTATTTTGGAATAAATTTAATAAAATGATTCATATTATTCACAATCAGGTCACAAAAAGAAATTCCTAAAATGTTTATCGTAATTTAAAATTCAATTCAAGAAATTTAGAAAACAGCCCAACGAATAATCGATTCATTTTTGTTTTGTTTGTTTTCTTTCATGTTTCCCTGTTTTATTTGAACCACTGTTTTACAAAACACCTTGAAAAGCGTACATTACTTTGAATACCTTGCTGAATGAATAAATGTTGAGAATTATTGTCTCTTATCGCCACATTACGAATTACTTTCAATCTAAGAAAATACATGTTTCACTCAACAATTATTGACAACGTATTTTGTTTTTTCGCTATTTTTTCGATATATTTCGACAATTCCATCGACAGCCTAACCGGTCGTTCTTCTCTGGCCTAACCGTCAGCCAAGAACCGCCGCGTGTGAATTGGTCCTTTGAGTCGCCGGTCGCCGCGCCGTCGTGGCGGGCTTGCGTCAGACGATGATGTTAAGCAACGTTGCCGTAGTTACAACAATTTCAAATTCAAGACATTCGAAGCAATCAAATTCGTATTAAATTTTAAAAATAAAACAGAGAAACATGAAAGAAAATAAACAAAATAAAAATGAATTGGTTATTCGTCGGGCTGTTTTCGATGTATTGAATTCTGAATTACGATAAACATTTTAGAAATTTCTTTTTTGTGACCTTATCAATAACCAATTCATTTGTGTTTTGTTTGTTCCTTTCATGTGTTCTGTTTTATTTTTAAAATTTAATAAGAATTTGATTGCTTCGAGTGTCTTGAATTTGAAATTGTTGAAACTACGGCAACCTCGCATGACGCAAGCTCGACACGGCGGCGCGACAAAGGAGCAGTTACCAGTGATGCGCCGCTCTCTTGGCCGGTGGCCGACGCGACGATTGGGCTGTCGATGGAATTGTTGAAATACATAGAAAAAATAGCGAAAAAACAAAATATGTATTTAAAATTGTTGAGTGAAACATGTATTTCCTTAGATTGAAAGTAGTTCGTAAAGTGGCGGTGAGAGACAATAATTCTCAACATTTATTCATTCAGAAAGGTATTCAAAGTAATGTGTGCTTTTCAAGGAGTTTTGTAAATCAGTGATTCAAATTGTGATGAGGCCTATATGAAAATAATGTGTTAAAAATGGGGACACTGTTATTTTAGTAGTTATTATAATAACTACAGCATGTACAAGTAAAGCAGCACAGTGAAGTGTATTTTAGTTAAGTGTATATCGAAAAAGAGAATTGTCACAGTTACAATCTGTCATAAGTATCTTTTTTAATGTTGGGTAAGTTTTTTAATTTAACTTTTTTAACACATTTTTTAACACATTATTAAACATTTAACTTTTAATTTATTTTATGTAATAATATCACAATCTTAAAAATGTAATGAATCTCTGCAAACTCGTCAGGTGTTGTGATTTTATGACTTACTTTTAACATACACTTTCTTGTCCCTATGGCAACACAGTGCGTCGAATTAACTGAAATTCGGGCTTGATCCGGGCAATTGGATGTAGTTGGCGATATCTGCCGGCGGTTCTCAAAATGTTGCGATTATTTTTTTAAATTTTCAAAGTTAAATAACTCGGTTATTTTCAATTTATTTTAAAAATGGTAAAGGGAAAATATGTTTATTTTGACCAGATCTACCACCCCTTAAAATATCTGCACTCATTTCTGGGACACCCTGTATATTCCACCATTATTTGAACACGCGTTTCTAATATGTATATATTAGGAACACAACTTTTCACTTAAACTGCAGGAATATAATTACAATATTTTGATGATTTAATTTTATTATAATGAATCAGTATATAAAATAGAATATGTTATGTTTGTTTACGCGGCCTTAATTGATTAATATAACAGTAGTATTGCTTGATGAGTAATATTGTCAACATCATAAATATATCGAGCTGATTGGGAAAATTATTGACTGACCCGATGTCAATAAAAGATATTTTTATATACCATTATTTGAACACGCGTTTCTAATATGTATATATTAGGAACACAACTTTTCACTTAAACTGCAGGAATATAATTACAATATTTTGATGATTTAATTTTATTATAATGAATTAGTATATAAAATAGAATATGTTATATTTGTTTACGCGGCCTTAATTGATTAATATAACAGTAGTATTGCTTGATGAGTAATATTGTCAACATCATAAATATATCGAGCTGATTGGGAAAATTATTGACTGACCCGATGTCAATAAAAGATATTTTTATATATAACAATAACATGGTTTGATATAAATCAATTCAAAAATAAGAAATAATTAGACGATTTTTTAAATAGTTTAACACCGTGGATATAACTAACCTATAAAAGGCGGACCGCCAGAACAGTTAGTCACTGCCTAGTGCCCAGCAGTTTTACGATTTTTTTACTATATTGTAATTAATAATGTTAGACAATGATTAAAACTAAATATTCTTGTGTAACCTTAATAGAGGAATAGCCAATTTAACATCGGTAACTGTTTTCTAAATGCACTGTAGCCAACTGCAATCTTCGTTGTCAAAAGTCATTTTTAAACTATTTTATGGTGGGGCTATGATTCCATAACAGTAGTGATTAAACCGACTGCAGGATGCAGTTGATGGGACTGCAAATATACTTCAATGTGTTCGAGATGTAGTCGAATGAACTGCAAACTTGATTCGACTTGACAGCAAATTGTGGTTGATTAAACTGCAAATATGTGGTCCATGTACGTCGGCCCTAAGAGGGTAAAATAAGGGGTGAAAGTTGTCTCAAAAATTTGTAATTGTAACCACAGTATTGTGGTCGGTATGACTGCAAAATGTCGCTCGTGAACGGCCGGCCTAAGGGGCGATTTTTAGAAATTCGCCGGGGTGTGAGATGGGGGATGAATGTTTAGAAAAACTATCTTCTAGGAGTATGAAAATTAGCACAGAATATTGTGCCCTTAAGTGATGAAAGTAGGTACTCAAAAACGATTTTTTGAAATTCATCCCCTAAAAGGGTGAAATTAGAGTGATCTTTTGAATATTTCTACAAAAAATTGTAACGGTTCTAGAAGTATTAAATTTACACACATACAGTACATCTGCTGGATCTGTGTCTATGAAAGGAATGCGGACAAAAAACATTTAAATAAACAGCAATATATTTTATACGTCGATTTGACGAGTGCGTCACCGCAAATCGCTCCGCCCACTCATTTTATTGGCTACTTGCAAAGTTGTTGAATTTTTATTGATGGGACGCGTCGTCTATTTTTTTACGAAAAACATCGAGAGAATATCGTTTCCCCTCTCACGGATACCCCGTAGCTACAGAACAGACAGACGTACTGTACATTAATTTTTTCATTAAATGAAAATCGTGAGTACTCAGAATCTATTTTTGAAAAGGTATCCCTTAAGCAGGGGAAATTAGACACAAAGGTTGACAGCAGTAACAAAATCAGTACAAAGTAATCATAGTAATCAAAGTAACGAATATTTAAAATGATACTTAGTAGTTGAGTAACGATTAGTAACGAGTAATCAAAAGTAACGGAAATCAACATCACTAATTATTATAATACAAACCACCATTTTGATTGCTTTTTATCAAATAAATTTAAAACTTGCTTTCAAAATACAGGGTGTCATTGAAATGGTGTAAAAAAAAATTGATTTTCCAATTAATTATTTAATAACTACTTGGTTACTTTTGAACCGCCATAACTTTCATAAGTTTATGTTGAGTTAGCAACCCATCAGAGCAAACTCTTTGCCTTCAATTTTCTCGAAAACCGTCACTCTGGGCGATGTGCAACAAGAGCACCTTTTTTGTAGGAAAAAGTATATAGTTTTTAAAAAATGAACCCACGTTGGAAAAAAAAATAACCTTAAACAAGTTATTCACAAAACAACCCCCTACTCTTGCAAAAATTACCCTTTCCGCTTTTCCAAATAATTTTTCAGGATCACCATTTGATTTAGGGTCCAAATTTATGCAGAGCATTTTTTTTCGAAATCTTATCTCGTTTTTTAAGCCTACAATTTCGAAACAACCGTTTTTTAAATTCACCCTTTCAGTGCCCCTAATTCCCTTAATATGCTTTTTCCGCCCTATACTTATAGGAATTTTTTTACTATTTTTAAGAGTACAACAAAACAATAAACAAACAACGCTTTATTGTGCAAAAAGCCAAAGCAGCTTCATCGACAAAGCACTCACAAACAACAAAATCACAAAAAAATTCAAACAACAAAAAATACACAATACAAATAATACAATTCAAAAAAATTTAAGTCTTTAAAATTACAAAAAGAATATACATGGACAATTTTAGAACAGTACGCAGTAAATAGATATAATTTTAAAGTTATAAAATATTAAATACTTGACCTTTAAAATTTTCGAATTTGTTTTGAAACACCCTGTCTAGTCATTCCTATTATCAAAGCATCGACTTACATAATTTATTTAAGTGGCTCATGCAATTTAAAAAGCCCACCGATAAGATACGTTTATCATGGTAAATAATAATTTTAAATAATGTATCACCACCTACAGGGAAAATAAAGATAAACTACATACCAATTATGTTATAAAAAAAGTAAAAAGTCTTTTTTTTAAATTACTATTTTCGTTAGTTTTGTCTTTGTCGCAAATTTTATCAAAAAATGTTACAGTTGTGGGCAGTTACTGTTTTATTCCATTATATTCTTTCGGTAAATTCAAAACCAGCCAGTTTTTCTGCGCGATACGGATGCGCAGACGAAGCTCAATCGTGCGATAGCGAAGTATATTGCCAGGGCCGTCTTCTGGACACCGTTCAACGTGCTAGAATCTACCCAGACTCGAAAACCTTCGTGGACTTGAACCAAATCAACAACGAAGACGTTACATTAGAGAATTTCAATTCGTTGATGAGAGAAACCAATAATACTCCATCCAAAGAGCAAATCCAAAATTTCGTTTCAAAAAATTTCGAAAACAGCAAAGAGATGGAGGAATGGACACCACCTGATTTTACCCCATCTCCAGGTTTATTAGATAAAATACACGACAAAGAAATGAGACGGTTTGCCTCGGATTTGGTGGCCATTTGGCCTACTCTGGGTCGAAAAATATCGAAACCGGTGTTCGAAAAGCCCAGGCAATATTCTCTGATCGGTGTTCCCAATGGAATAATCATCCCTGGAGGGAGGTTCAAGGAGTTTTATTATTGGGATACGTACTGGATTATCGAGGGATTGTTACTGAGCGATATGAAAGATACAGCTAGGGGGATGATCGAGAATTTGCTGTATATGGTTGATAAGTATGGTTTTGTTCCTAATGGAGGACGGGTTTATTACTTAAACAGGTGTATTTATAATTTATGCCTCGTAGAATTATTGAATTCGGAAAAATAAATAATTAATTATCTGAAATAATTCCACGATTCATTAAAAATTAGATAAGAATGTTTCGTATATAATCTTTAACAATATTATATACGTATAATAGTTTTAGTAAGGACTAAAACCCTTGTATGTTATAGAATACACGATAATACACTTAACTAATTTATTTAATAATTAAAAACTACAACTCGTTACTTAAATAACCCTCAAGAATCCCACAATAATATACAGGGTGGTCCAAACTGTATTTTGGAAATATCGGCAGCAGATTATGCAGATAAAAATAAGTAAAAAAGTTCGTTTAAATGTATGTCCAAAAATTATTAGTTTCTGAGATACAGGGTGTAGAAGTTTCATTTTTATTTCGATTTTTTCCAAATAATTTCTGAATTAACCTCAATATTTAGATGAAAATTGGTATCTAGGACTTTTTTCACATGAAAAATTTGATTTTGATGTCAATATGACTCCTACTTCTAGAGGGCACAACCTACATATTTTTTAACTGGTTTGAAGAGTAATAACTTTTCGTCCGTGCCTGTATAAAACCACTGAATGAAAAAATATACATTTACGTTGTTTTTTTACGTAAAAAAGGTCTATTGGTAAAAATCGCTACGAGTAATGGTTCCCGAGAAATTTGAAATCGAAATTATCAATACCTGTTATCATTGACATAAATTAAACATGTTGACTAAATGTAGTTACACAGATTAGGTATCCTATAAGTATACAGATAAAAATCTTGTCCCTAATTCGTGGTACGAAATTATTTTTTATGACGATGTGCAAACGAGTAAAATTTCCTGTGCGCAAAAATAAACTCGCGTAAAATAACAATAAACAGCGTAATAGAGATATATCGCTAAACCGAATAGCGTGCATGGCCGTTAATAAGGCCAGGTGTTATTTCCTTTACGTGAGGTGGTATTAACTCTCTTCATTTATAGTTATCGGATCGGAAAGAACTCTGTTCGCGTCGCGTCCGCTATTTAAACTTAACCTAACTGTGAATTTAAAACTTTGAAATTGTTTTGTTTACCAAGTATTTTAAAACTAAAGGGCTAAAGTGCTTATTTCCAGTGCTTTATTGTTCAACGTCTGCCAGTGGGTTTAGGGCAACAAGCTACAAATTCTCTTAGAAGGGCTAAGTCGTCATCTGCTGTAAACCTAAGCCTCTTTATAGGTTCTTTAATATTGGAAGAAGTGTATTTAATTAAAACTAATCCCAGCTACTTAAATATCAGATTACCTACCTAATAAAACTAAAGTAATAATTCAAAACAATTCAAACATAACCTAAAATAAAATGTCGCCGGCCGGCACAGGTTGTAAATACCCGCACATGCCCATTTAAGCAATTTTTAAACGTTATTTAGAAATAGCGCTTGGTATAGTTGATCCGCAAATTACGTTAGGCGGTGACGTTATTAGCGGGTGTTGCGTTAAAAATTGACTCGCGCATATCGTAACCATGATAAGGTACGCGTAAATACTGCATGACGCTATTCGGTTTTCCGATATCTCTCTAATAACTGTGCCGGTCAGGTGCTGTGCACAATTTTAGAGGCCATAAGTGGGCGTGCTATGTGCGCAAACTAGTAACCTAACTAGTGCCCGATTCCGAAAATTGGAACCACGAAAAACAATAAAGAAAAAACAAAGTTTATAATCTGTGGTAGTTATTAGACTGAAATCATAAATTCGAAATATTTGACGAATGCGACAGATGATAAGACGACACCCTGATGACAAGACAATACATGGCCAGCATGGTACAAAAAAAACAAGGTATGATCGATGGCGGCTCCAATTTCGTTAAGTTTGCGCATACCACCTGTGACGTCATACCCCAGAAAAAAAAATATCCATATTGTTCTATTGCCACTAATAAAAAAGACTTAAAATAGGGAAGAATTAGAACATAACCCCAAAAGTTATGTCAAATCATCGAGCTTCACATTTGAAAAATTATTTTCACATTTATTATGTCATCTGTTTGATAATTTGAAATTGGCGCGCGGAGCTTGCCGACCAATGGTACCGTTTATCACCTGTGACGTAGTGACCAACCTGCGCAATATCATACCTTGTATTCTTTGTATCATGCATGGCCAGCATAAATGACAACGAATGGTTAAAGAAAAATATTGCGTCCTTATCATTTTTTACGTAGAATTAATAGTTTTCAAAATATTTCGACTCGAAGATCCCTGAAAAAAAAATTCAGATTTTTACAAACTTATTCGTCTCTTCAAAAATGGCCTATGGGTATTTCGCTACTGTAAGAAAATCTTCAAAATAAAATAGTTATTTTTTGTAAACACTGCTGCGTTAATCCAACGAAGACTAATTGTCAGCAGTGGTTTACTAATTAGACAAATTTGCCTAACGGACAAAAAATGCTCAACGATTCAGGAAGTATGTCTCTTCCCGTCGTCACGTCGGAAGCAAAAAAAAATACAAAGAACAAAGAAAAAACTATTTAAAATATCTAAATGCAACTATTCGAGAACACTTGTTCTTGTTTGAGCACGTCATTTTTATTTTGTAGATTTTTTTAACAGTGGTCCCTGACAGTGGCTACACATAGGACTCTTGAAGAGATAAATCGGCCACAGAGACATAGACATTTTTTATACTTTTTTGGGATTTCCGGAAAGTGTCGTAAACAAAAAAAGCATAATAATTTTATAAGTTACGAACATCAATGAGGAGTTGGAAATCAATAATAAACGTTCAAAATTACCTCCAATATCAATAGCAAGTATTAGCTTAAATTTACAAGAAAGAAAACCCAGAAAAAATCTAGTGGTTGTCAAGATTTAAGCAAAAAATAATTTTTTGGAAAAATTTTAAAGTCAAATAACTCGGTTATTTTGGACTTATTTTAAAACCGATAAAGAGAAAATATGTTTCTTTTATCGAGATCTACCAGCCCTCAAAATATTTCCATTTATTTAAGACTCACTCTCATATGTCTCAAAATCTGAACTAAAATTATATTATATTCCCTAAGATCACAGCCGCCACTATTGACACTGATGGCAAGAAAATACATGGCCAGCACAAATGACAACGAATGGTTAAAGAAAAATATTGCGCTGCTCGATCGAGAACTGACATACTGGTTGGAGAAAAAAACGATAACTTTTCAGAAAAACGGAGTTACCTACGAAATGGCACATTATATTTCTGAAAGTAACACTCCTAGACCCGAGTCGTATTATGAAGATATTGTGACGTGTTCATATTTTGCAACAGGCCCCGAAAAGGTAAAAATATATCCAGTAAAATTGATTTAGGCTATATTTTATAACAAAATAAATATTATATAAGAGCTCATTTCTTACTAATTTTATCTAATAAACCCTCTCTACTAAATTAAGAAAAATAGTACATATCTGAATAAAAACACTACATAAAAAAATACCCAAAAATTGACTAGTGCCACGCACAGATCATATTTCAATTTACTGGTGCGATTTTTTTTAAATAACTCTACAGGGTTGTTCATCACAGACGGCACGGAGTATTGTAGCTAAACGATTAGATTTTTACAAATTGTAAGTTTTGGGTTCGTTGAAGGACTATTAGAGCTAAAATTTAAAAAATATTTTTACAAAATACAGAGTGTCCCAAATAAGTAAAAAATATTATAGTTGTATAACCTAACCATTTTTGAAATACTTTCAATTTTATGAAATTGCAGTAAAAATTTTAAGGCTTCATTTCTCGAAGGGTATCGAAGTTTTTAACACTAACAGCGTTTTCACATGCGACAGACCGTCCGTCGTGTTTTTTCAAGATAGCCGTCGGACGAAGCATACGCGCCCATGTGTTCATAATAAACTCATGGTACTTGCTCGAAGTTGCGGACGCTCCGTCGCATGTGAAAGCGCTGTAAATATTTACTGAAGTTTATTTATTGATCAGATAATGTGTTTAACAGCGCTTTCACATGCGACGGACCGTCCGCGACGGAGCGTCCGTGACCTCGAGTAAGTACCATGAGTTTATATGAACAACTTCACATGGGCGCATATGCTCCGTCCGACGGAGTTTGTTCAACGGCTATCTTGAAAAAACATGACGGACGGTCCGTCGCATGTGAAAACGCTGTAATTGTCTATCAAATTGTATTATACCATTTTTTATCTATCTCTTCAAGTTTTCGTAGAAAATGCATTTTCTTATAATTTAGATATCATTTATCACTATACCCATGGAATATTGACATTTTAGATTATTTTTAAAGATGTAACGAATTTTCAAAGAGTACCAGATACTAATATTGTCGATATAGTTCGCTTATTTCATTAAAAGATAAAAAAAAACTGTTTAAATATTTTTTTGTTAAAGAGGACCAATTAATATGATCCCAGTAATCAAACTACATTAATTGACTTTTTACGTTGATTAATAATAATTGCTCCAAATACTAAAAAGTGAATTTTGTATGTGTATTAGACAGTGTGGTAAAAAGTAAAACCTTATAAATTTTATTTCATTTTTTGACGAATGCTTATTTATAACAATAGAGACGCTCATTTTCATAACTTATTCTTTTATTGATTTCTGAGTCAAATCCACATTTATTTAGAATAATTTTTAATTAAAACAATTAAGTATGTAATTAACTAATTTTTGGGCAGAAATAATGGTGGTATATTAATAATTAGTAATAATTGGTATATACTTTTACAAAGATTTAAATAGTTTTCTTTTTGTAAATAAATGGGCTTGCAATTTTATTATTTTTACCACCTATATATTTTGTACATATGTTGCTTTAAAAAAATCTAAAATGTCAATATTCCATGGGTATAGTGATAAATGAGATCTAAATTATAAGAAAATGCGTTTCCTACAAAAACTTGAAGAGATATATAATACAATTTGATAGACAATTAAATTGTTCATCTGATTCTCATAAAATATACAGGGTGTTCTATTTAAATTAAACAAGTAATTGCCGTTTAAAGCTAGTAATTATTTAATAGAAATTTTTGGACACTCTCTATAAAGTTATATGAAAAACCTCCCTTACTTTGTGCCTCATGAATCTTTCCGCACTTTGCATGTTGTGAAGTTTGAATACTTTCATATTTCTCTTTATTATTGACTGCATATTATAAAACATTTTTTTTTTACTTAGGAGCATTGCTATCAAGGACTGAAGAGTGGGGCGGAGACCGGATGGGATTTTTCAAGCAGATGGTTGTTTGATGACAAGGGGGAAACTAGAACAAATTTAACTCACATTGACGCCCAAAGAGTAATTCCTGTTGACCTTAATGCTTTTTTATGTAAAGCATTCCTAACTTTATCCGAGTAAGCATTTACTTACTTAATTGCTAACTAAAGAAGCACAGTTCCGGCCAAATATGTGGTCTGTAATAAAAAAATATTCAGCATGCCGCTACTACATGTTGAGATCTGGATTGGAAATTAAAGGAGTGTACAATTCAAATCTCTAAGATATCGTTATCCGTAGGGCCCTTATTAAGATTTGAACTTTGCGATTTGACATACAGATTAAATCGTAGTAGGGCCTAGGGTAACGTGTAGGGCCCCTTTTAATATTTTTATTCAAAGTTCTGGATAGTGACAATATTAATCAAAATCTACACTCAAAACGGGCACCTTAAAATTTTCATGTATTTTAAAATTATATATATTGTGTCCTAGAGGACCGATTTTGATGATTTTTAAGCAATTTGTAGCTAAGTTATTTCACTTTTTAGTTCCTTTTTCTAAATTAAAAATGAAAGTTGCCATCTGTCAATTATACGAGGGAAAACAAAATGTTGATATTTTGGTGAAAGTTTGAAACACCCTGTGGAGTACGTTAATAAAGCAAGAAATTTAAAAATAATTTCATCATCTAGATGCCCCTTTTCTCGATAGTTTGTTTTTTTTTTGGTCATCTCAATAGATTTATTTTTTTGAAGATATTCGGTTTTGAAGAAGACACTAACATTTTTTTGTTTTTTTTTAAAATTAAACCACCTTTGCTTTTGGTCCAAGTCAACAGACCTATAAAATAGTGTTTATGATTTATGTAATGTCACTCTCTTTGAAAAATTATATTATTATTGCGTGTTGGGCAGTTACTCTAGCAGAGATGTTTTAAGTCCAAAAGTTGATCTCCACCATGATCAATTACAGCCGATACTTCAGGACCTAAAACCATCTCTACTAAAGTAAACAATAAACACTTTTTTAGAAGTGTGTTGTTGGTGTGTTGATGAGGAAAAGCAAAGGCATGCTTTCAATGCTAAAATTGCTGTAAATCGTTATTGTCTTATACCTCCTACTTTATACACACTTTCCAGGTAGCATACCTATTGATACGCATGTAGCGATGTAGCTCCCACTGAACTCCAAAATCCTTGCAGTGATTGGGAAGTGGCCAAGCTAATAACAACGGAACAAAAACTGAAATGGGCGATCGACACCTTTCGGCCCTATAAAGCAGCAGGGGTAAATGGGATCTTTCCTGCCCTTCTAAAGGAGGGTCAGCAAATAGCTACTCGCCATCTACTAAGCATTACAAGAAGCAGTCTAGCGATGGGATTTATACCAACCACATGGAGAAGTGCAAAAGTAATCTTCATACCCAAAATAGGCAAAACTGACTGGTCAAATCCCAAGTCATTTAGGCCTATTAGTCTCACATCGTTCATACTAAAAACGCTGGAGAAAGTAGTTGACAACCATATTGGAGAAAATCATCTAAATGTTAAACCACTGCACGATAGTCAGCAGGCATATAGAGCGGGCAGATCCACAGAAACTGCTCTGTACCAATTAATGGAGCTAATACAGACAAGTCTGGATAGCAAGAAACAGCAATTTGTGCCTTCTTGGATATTGCGGGGGCGTTTGACAATATACCACATAAGATGGTCAGGCGATCTCTAGAGACAAGAGCGGCGAACAGAACTATTATTCGCTGGTATTGGCAAATGCTGTGAACACGAACAGCAGAGGCTCAGATGGGCACCAAAATTGTAGCTTTTAAAACAACGCAAGGAACTCCACAAGGTGGAGTAACCTCCCCTTACCTCCCCTTTGCTGTGGAGCTTGGTAGTGGATGAATTACTAGATGAATTAACTCTAGCGGGAATACACTGCATTGGGTATGCAGATGACATAGTCATGATCGCTCTGGGGAAACATGAAGGCAAACAAAGAATCCAACTGGTTGGAAAGGAAATACTGCCATTACAGGAAGTCAAATATCTGGGAATAACCCTAGATAGTAAACTCCTGTGGAACAGACATTTTAAAAACATTACCAGCAAAGCCACAAAGGCTCTCATGATATGCAGAAGACTGGCCGGAAATAGATGGGGCTGCTCCCCTAAAATTTGCGCTGGATGTATACCATGATAGTAAGACCCATGATTACTTATGGAGCAGTTGCTTGGTACACAAAATTAGAGCAACGGACGGCAATGCTAAATCTGTGCAAAGTCCAGAGACTAGCATGCGTTTGCATCACAGGAGCCATGAGAACCTGTCCAACAGCAGCAATGGAGGTCATTCTAGATCTAACACCACTGCACATTGTCATCGGTAGATATGCCAATGCGACAATGATTAGAATGGTTACTAACGGAATCAGTACTGGGAGAATTGTCAGATTAGGGGCTTGGAACGCCCTCAAAAAGGAAGTATCTCACCTGCAACTCCCAGTGGATGATATGCCAAGAATGTACAACTTTGAGAAACATCTCAATGTAGTATTAAGCAATAAAAAGGATTGGAAGAGAGAAACGTCTACTCAGCAGTTAAAAGATCATATCATAACTTGGTATACTGATGCTTCCAAAACCAATGCGGGAACAGGGATCGGAGTATTTGGGTCGAGAACTAAATACTCCGAACCAATGGGTATCTATCCTAGCATCTACAGGCAGAAATCTACGCTATCGATAGATGCGTACAACTTATCTTAGATAGGAACTATCGGAAACAAGAAATACCCATCTTATCTGATAGTCAAACAGCGTTAAAAACGATCAACTCAGTATCAATCAATTCGAAATTGGTCAAAGAATGCATAGAGAAGCTGAATAAATCAGACAAAGAAAACAGAGTCCTCCTACTCTGGGTGCCTGCTCACCAAGGGATAGAAGGCAATGAAAAAGCAAATGATCTAGCTAGAAAAGGAGCGAACACTCCACTAATCGAACCAGAACCGTTCTGCTTCCCAAGTGGTAACCAACTAAAGGCGGAACTCAAGAACTTGGAAGACTTTAAGAAGAGATACTAAAAAGTCAAATAATTTAGCTACAAATTGCTTAAAAATCATCAAAATCGGCCCACTAGAACAAAATATATTAAACTTTAAAATACATCAGAATTTTAAGGGGCCCGTTCTTCATGTCAGTGAGTGTATTACAAAACGATAAATTTATTTCAGATTTTACACAACACTTAATGACGTTGAAAACTCAATTAAATGGAACGAAAAATCGAAAATCTGGTTAAAATCCATCGAAGACGTACTGTACGACCCAATCGACGGAATATGGTACGACTACGACCCAGAATTATCTAAATGGAGAAAATTATTCTACCCTAGTAATTTCGCACCCTTGTGGGCGGAGTCGTACAATTTAGGTTTAAGACAAGAGTATGGTAGGAAAGCCGCGGAATATTTTACCAAACTGAAAATAGATGACTTTAGAGGGGGAATTCCCACTTCTCTGGACGACAACAATGAACAGTGGGACTTGCCTAATGCCTGGCCGCCATTACAAGAAATAGTTATTTTAGGTAATTATCTTTGTCAAATATTATTATACAAGATTACTGCTATTATAGTGAAACCTAATGGAATACCAACTCTTAATATTATCATCTTTAGAACACCATATACACTGAAGGACATACGAAACGCATAACAAGATGAGATTAGATTCTTCTAGGTGGCAGTTCAGTTTGTTCCGCTGTGGGCTTTTTAGATCTACTATGGTCCTCTTTTGATTCTTAGGCCTTTGAAGTCTAACAACTTGCTGACGTAAAATGTGCTGACGATAAAATGTATTAAAAAGATCAAATGTATTAGAAAGTTGGTTAGTTGATACATTTCTTCTATGCGGTATTGCCAGATTTTGCTTCAACATTTCAAACTGCACAAGTCGGCGTTTATGAAAAATGTTGCATCTAGTGTTGGAACTTTATTCTTCACTATTAGTTACTCTATTAGTTTTACTATTAGTTACTCTATCTAGTTCACTATTAGTTAGCTGTAATAGATTATATTTAGCTGAGATATATTATTTTCATTTCAGTAGTATACATGAAAGTTTTTAAAATAGTTTATTTTATTCTACACACATTTTCCTACGAACGTAAAAACCGGCAACACTGTATGCCGCGTTTTTACTTTATCTCTTTCTCTGCCAACCGGTCATTTATTTATATTTATCTCTGTCGCATGCATTAAAATACAGACCACGCCGATGAAGTGACCAGACCTAGTATATGGGATTTGAATAGACACTGATTGTATATTAATCAAGAATAATACAGCTACTGCTGCTTCCCTGTTCGCCTTAGCCAAATCTCTCTATATCCAGTGCATCAAGTTCCTCTAGCTCTCTGGAGAGCTAGAGCCATCGCTTGTCTGATTGTGTTGTTCCACTACCGTCTTGGTCTACCAAGAAAATACAGACCACGCCGATCAAGTGACCAGACCTAGTATATGGGATTTGAATAGACACTGATTGTATATTAATCAAGAATAATACAGCTACTGCTGCTTCCCTGTTCGCCTTTGCCAAACCTCTCTATATCCAGGGCATCAAGTTCCTCTAGCTCTCTGGAGAGCTAGAGCCATCGCTTGTCTGATTGTGTTGTTCCACTACCGTCTTGGTCTACCAAGAAAATACAGACCACGCCGATGAAGTGACCAGACCTAGTATATGGGATTTGAATAGACACTGATTGTATATTAATCAAGAATAATACAGCTACTGCTGCTTCCCTGTTCGCCTTTGCCAAACCTCTCTATATCCAGTGCATCAAGTTCCTCTAGCTCTCTGGAGAGCTAGAGCCATCGCTTGTCTGATTGTGTTGTTCCACTACCGTCTTGGTCTACCACGCCTTCTTTTTTATGGAGGACTCCATCCTCCGGCATTCTCAATGGACGGCCAAATCACTTCAGACCTCTGATCTTGATGATCTATAATTGTCTCTGGAGCATTCATTCGGTGTACGTAAGTAATCCGATCTATTTTGGAGACGCCTGCGCTCCCTTCTGAGATAGCTCATTTCGGGTGCTGTAAGTCTCCGCTTCATTTCGGCTGTTAGAGCCCATATTTCACAAGCATGCAGTGGGCGTTAATGATAAAAAATATACTTAGTAGTTTTACTATAGGTATACCGGATGCGTCTCAAAAGTGGCCCATTCCTATAACTTTTTTATTTTTTCAGATAAAAAACGAGATTTGGTATGTTAGTATATGACATAAATTAGAATTGATTGACGTATTCAATTGTTTTCGATTACTTCCTGTTTCACCGGAAATTACAACAACTTTTGATTGTTAAATGGCCCCTCGGATTTTTTTACTTTATTCAATAGAAAATGACACTCTGAATAGAATGACACATCATATGTCAACTTTTGACATTTTTGCTTAAACAAAAATCGCATTTTAAGTTTCAACCTAGAGTGCCATGACTGTGTTAAAAATACTATTTTTAATCAAGGAGTCTTAGAAAAATATATTTTATCGTCTAAAAATTTTAGTGTCTTATCACGGCCGGTTAAAAGATGCTCAAATCGTATTTTTAATCATTTTTCAATAAGAACGAGGGTGGCTCATTAGCATATTTGAAAAACAGGGTGCCGTTTAAAAATCAAAAGTTGTAGTCATTTCCGGTGAAACAAGAAGTGACCGAAAACAATTACATACGTTAATCAATCCTAATTTATGTCATATACTAACATATCAAATTTCGTTTTTTTATCTGAAAAAATAAAGTTATAGGGGTGAGCCACGTTTGAGGCGCATCAGGTATAATTTAAAACATTATAATAATCAATTTTCGTTTTTTAAGACTCTTTTCACGTTTACTTTATCTTCACTTAGGTCTGTGGAAAACCAGAGACCGACAGGCCAGGCGGATCGCGAAGCAATCGGCCCATCGCTGGATTAAAGCCAATTTGAGGGGATTCAAACAAGAAAACGCCATGTTCGAGAAATACGACGCGATAGAAGTGGGCAGATACGGAGGAGGTGGGGAGTATGAAGTTCAAAAAGGATTCGGATGGACCAATGGCGTTGCTTTAAATTTGATAAATATGTTCTACACCGGAAGACAAAACTTGACAAATATAGATGACACGGACGATCAAATCTATAACAAGGACGCTAATAGTAAAAGGCGAAAATCATAATAATTATTATATTTAATGAGATTAAAATTAAATAATAAAAAAAAAAAAATATTTGTTTTTATTTTTACAATATCCCATCAGCGCTAAATAGGGTGCACTGAAATAAACGTAAACAACTGGAAGGCTCGCTCGTACGCAAACGCTTCCTTTAAAACGAGCCTTCGTGTGAGAGTAGTGCGGCTGCAAATAGTGTATTGTTTTCTCTGTCTATCACGTTTGTTTTTATGAGAGTCCTCATCAATTTCAACTTATTTTTTTTCACGTTTTTTAAGAAAAAATGGTGAAAAGTTGTTGTGCCTATAACTGCACTAATGTGTGGAGCCCAAATCAGGATATTCAATACCACAGGTAAGTCGGTTTTGGTTTGGAAGTGCAATTTTAATGAAAAGGTATTCATGTTCTTTAGATTTCCATTGAAAAATCCAATCCGTATGGAGCAATGGGTAAAAGCTACACGATTGGACAATTTTACTCCTACACCTTATACCCTGATATGTAGTCAACATTTCAAAATGGAAGATTATTCAGAATCAACTGCAAGCAGGTTGAAAGCTAATGTAGTGCTATCAGTTTTTAATTTTCCAAGGTATTATCAAGAACATAAATTTAAACGTGGAACGAAGGTTCAATTGGTTGTCGAAGATTTTTGTATTCTGATATTGGTAGGTACCGAGGTAGGTACATAAAAAAATGAAAATATTAACATTGGGTTTTATTTTTATTATTTGTTTCCTATTCCTTTCCTCAATTAAAAAGGTCCTTTTGTAACGTAATTCAAGTTTTACTTACCTAGGTACCTCAAAAATCGTAGGTACCCGTACCCCTAACCTATGAAGACTTACCTGTCGTATTAAAATAAAGGCTTTAGGTAATAAATAATAATAAAGAATAAATTATATTTTACTTATTAAGCCTGAAGTATAGTTAAAAGTTGGCAAAAACTTTTAAATCAAACAAAAAAAAATACTTTTAAGTTGCGAGCCCACAATCATCTCATTACTGACAATGTGTAGAAGAAGGAGGCATGACCACGATTTGCGGTGCTCTCTTTCTAACCTCTCGGCTCGAATCCCGAACACTGGGCAAGGCGTTCCAGTTGTTTACGTGTAATTCAGTGATAGGGTGATCCTCCCAAGTTGTCATCTTTTATCAGACTAATTCTACCACGTGGTCTGATCGCTTCGGGCGCTTGGTCTGATCGCTCATGGGAATATTAAGGCGGAAATTGACATGAACCAAGCGTTGTAATACGAGTATTCACCTAGTCAATATACCGGGTGCGTCTCAAAAGTGGCTCACCCCTATAACTTTTTTTATTTTTTCAGATAAAAAACGAGATTTGGTATGTTAGTATATGACATAAATTAGAATTGATTGACGTATTCAATTGTTTTCTGTCACTTCCTGTTTCACCGGAAATGACTACAACTTTTGATTGCAATCAGAGACAACTTTAAAGTTATTATTAATACTGTTGAGTTGAAAACATTTCTTGTCTTTCCTGGTTTTGTCTGTACAGGGTGGGTCAAATTCGACGCTTTTAAATGGAAACACCCTTTTCTATAGGAGATAGACAAAAACTAATATCGGTGTCTGGAGCTCAATTTTTGTCAAAAACATGATGGTGAAAACCGCATATCGATATCTGTTACCGTTTCGGAGTTACGGGGTGTTTTTCAAAAAGATGCATTTTTAATAAATCGCTGTAACTTTTTTGCTATGGAAAATTTTGTATTTTTATGAAAACATTTCCAAAGTACCTTTTTACGTAGAATTTAATGGTTTAAGTATAATTTTTTTAAAATTTATAATTTAAGAATTATCAACAGAAAATTTGATTTTTTATATGGGACATCCTGTAAATTTTTAGTTTATTGAAAAGAATTTAAAATTACCTTTCCAAAAATATAACACACTTGCTATTTTGCTCGATTCCTCTTCGATATATAGAGTATATAAAAATTCGCCCGCTTTAAATAAGTAGGCTTTGAACGACACCGGCTATAATGCAAAAAAGTCAAGCTGTGAGCATCAATTAAAATGAAAATAATATTTGTTATGAGAGATGCAGAATTTTATAACAATTTAAAATATATTTAACCAACATCAACACATTTAAACTGTATCTAATAACAATAAAAATAAATAGCATACCAAGACATGAGATTTTGCTATAATACAGGTGTTCGACATATCGACATACCGTCTTCTGTTATGGACAGACGGGGCAGTTTTTGAACATTTCTCCCGGAATTCGTTAACCTCAGTGGGGGTGAAAGATATAACTTCTCATAACTGCTAAGTATTTCTAATTCTTGTCTAAATTATACGGAATAAGGAACCTTTATTCTTCCGCAAATATATCCATAGGATTAGATCCATGGGCACTAAGTCAGGCGGCCTCGACGGCCAACGGCTGGGATCTTGGCTTGCTATTCAATTATTCTTGAAATTGTCTGCAAAAATTTGCTGATAACTTCAGCGTTCAGAGGCGGTGCGTCGTCTTGCTGGAAAAATATGTTTTCGAGTTCCATTAAGGGCATATCATCAATAAGGGGTCCAAAGCCTACTAGTTAAGTGGCGAACTTTTAAAAATTCTGTATTTCGAAGGGGATTGTAACAAAATATCAAGTGTTCTATATTTTTGGAAAGGTAATTTTAAATTCTTTACAGTTAATTAAAAATATAGAGGGTATCCCAAATAAAAAATCAATTTTTCTGTTGATAACTCTTAAATTATTAATTTTAAAAAAATTATACTTAAACCATTAAATTCTACGTAAAAAGGTGCTATGGAAATGATTTCATAGAAATACAAAATTTTTCATAGCAAAAAAGTTACAGCGATTTGTTTAAAATGCACATTATTGAAAAACACCCCGTAACTCCGAAACGGTAACAGATATCGATAGGCGGTTTTCACCATCATGTTTTTGATGAAAATTGAGCTCCAAACGCCGATATTAGTTTTCGTCTATCTCCTATAGAAAAGGGTGTTTCCATTTAAAAGCGTCGAATTTGACCCACCCTGTACATTTCTTCATCAAGGCCATCAGTTTTAGGATTAAGTTCTGTTGTTCGTCGCCGATACACATATATTCAGTCTTCTTAAGGTTACCCCACTTATTACATTTATTCTTCAATTAGTTTGCTGGTCATCATTCGAAGTTCTCGAAGCCTTGAGTCCATATTATTTGATCATCACCGAAACAAAGAGTGTATAGTATCATTCGTCTGTTCGCACTTCCTTTTCCACGTTTTCAGGGCTTGTTCCAAATAGATTTTTAGTCTATGCCGGGAATGAGTAGTACGGGAGTGCCGAAACTAAGACTGCTAAGACTAGTTACACGTAAAAAACTGTTTGTTATAAGCAAAAAAATATTTTTCGTATAAAAAACTATTTGTTACACGTAATAAACTATTTTTACGCGTAAAAAATATATTTTTAATTTATTACTCTTTCAACATTTCAAACTACACTTTTAAAACATGTCCTTCAAATCCTTCAATTTAATAGCTCTTAGTAAGAAAGGTTCACTTTTTTCAAATATGCGCTCATAGTGCACACACAATTTTTTTTAATCAACACACTCTATGTTAATAGGTTTTATATAAATGAATTATCTATCCTCCATAAACTGGATATACAGGGTGTTTCAAAAAACATGTGTAATCTCTCGTGGATAAATTCCTCACGTAAAAATAAGATTTATTTTTCATATCAACATAGGTCCGATTCTGCTTTGTTTGTAACTACAGGGTGTTAAAGTGTTAATAATCTTTCGATTTATTATAATTTGCTTCCAAATACTTTTAGTGATTCTAATGAAATTTTAAGGGTAAAAGTTGCTATAAGTGCTACATATTTTAATGCTAAAAAAGTGTCAATAAATTCATCAGGGATGTGCATATGGGTTATCACTATGCAACTGTCTCAAAAGTCTTAGAAATCGATTTTTAAGAAAAAACTAGTTTTATAGAAAGTTCATTACTTTTGACTTTTGAGACACCCTGTATAACAATTTTTTTTTACATATTATGTTGCTTCTAGGGTCTTACATTTTTGGAAACTAGTTAAGGTGTGACTTTGACCTGAATCTGCGAAAATATGATTTCTTATGTGGGTTAATATTGTAACACCCTGTAAAAACCATTTCCTATGCACTAATAATTGTTAATTTTTTCATATTTTGTATTGACTTTGTAATTTTAACACATATTGAATAATATCGACGAGCAAAATAATTTTTCCATAAAATATGGTCCACCGATGGGATTTTGGGCGCCGCGCCGTTGACCCTGGATTTATCGAGAGATTCGTAAGTGCAAGTAGTCGATGCACCGCCTTCTGTTAGTTTAAAAGCTACCTCGTCTCTTCAGATTCCCCGCAGGTTATAGTTTGTCTAGGGAAGGGCAGCCTTAAGGCAAATTAATAAAATTGCGTTTATCTCATCAAGGAGGTCGAAATCGACAAAATATCAAGAGACAACTTTTAAATCGGCATTAAACTACTTACACTATTCCGCTAACAAGAGAAAAACATGTCAGTGGCGTACATGCTTCTTTAAGAAAAATATTCCAGTGATAACCCATATTATGCACGTCCCTGGTGAATATGTCGACACTTTTTTAGCTTTAAAATATATCGCATTTATAGTAACTTTTACCATAGTTTCTTTTATTCTCAAAATTTCATTCGAAACGCTAAAAGTACTTGGAAGAAAATCAAGATAAATCGAAAAAATATTAAGATTTTAACACCCTGTAGCTACGAAACAAAGCAGAAACGGACCTTTGTTAATATAAAAAATAAATCCTATTTTTACGGAGGAATCTCCCCATGGGAGGTGGCATATGTTTTTTGAAACACCATGTATAATTAAAAATCTACTGATAAGACAAGAGAGCCAAACTACATTAGTAAAGCAATGTTTTTCTTACCAAAACGTTTAACACTGAAATCGTCTTATTTAGTGAATACATCACCCTGTCCGCCTGTATTCTTAGTTCCATGTCCATGGGCGTCAATTTTTCTGGTTTTTCCAAAATAGTCCCATCGAAATAATCGCCTTTGTCTCCATTTCTTATAATAGAATTGAATGGTATAGGAGGCTTCTTAATGTACTTTTTTAATAGAGCGTATGAATTCATTTTGTTGTTGGTTTAATTCTTAGTTTTTTAACCTGCAATATGCTGCCAAAATGGCATGGATCAATAAACCAGGTATCACACCTGTATGAAGTTATATTTTTCTTAAATTAAATCGATTTTGTTGCTATGGAAACAACACAAAGCTAAGAGATGGCCAAGGGGATGGCTAAGGGTTATATTTTAATCACACCTGTATGAAGTTATATTTTTCTTAAATTAAATCGATTTTGTTGCTATGGAAACAACACAAAGCTAAGGGATGGCTAAGGGTTATATTTTAATACACAGGGTGCTACAATCTAGCATTGATTAGAGTGGGCGAAGACTGTTACGCATGTATACTGGGTGATTCATGCTCATGGCACGTTAGACATTTATGGAGAAATAAGAATTTTTGGATCTTTTTTACGATAAAGGCGCCTGCACCATCCGTCTAAATTATTTTCAGCATTACAGTCTTGCCGCTTCATACTAAAAGTGTCTTTGTTATTTTAAATGGAACACCTGGTATATTATTATATTTTTCGAAACTACTTCCATATCTCAAAATTTTTCTATTATACTTAACTATACCAATCTCTAATAGTTTTCGGGATAAAAAATAAAACGTGTAAAATTGACAAAAACATGATTTTGAATAAATATTGGTTAAATCATAAATTTGGCATATTGAAAACTGAAATTTGGTTTATACGCTAATAGTACGAGAGCTAGCAACGTCAGAAAAACAAGTATTTTAAGACGTCTGGCTCTTTGATATATCTTTTATTATACTCTTGCATGCGGCCCGCCCGGCTGCAAATGCCAGTGCTCCCCACGCTGGAAAGAAGTGTCGAACATGGCCGCCAATAGCGCAGCCGAGACCACGAACCGATGATTGAGTTCGGTGCTGTTTATATGTTCTGGATAGTAAAGTATTAAATATTTGTTTTTTTTAATTACCAGAATTATTTAATACTTTACTATCAGAATATAAACGAAAATAAAATAAAAAAAGTCTTTGCCTTGACCCGGATTCGAACTCTGAATCATCGGTTCGTGGTCGGAAACTCTACGCACTGCGCTATGGAGACATGTTCGATTTATATTCAATACTAGAATTTATAGGACTAAATTAATAAAAAATATAGGATCTTGTTCCGATACGCAGTAGTGAACGCAACGGGTATCGGCAACCAGACGGGCCGCATGCAGTTCCAGAGAGCATAGTAAAACATATATCAAAGAGCCAGACGTCTTAAAATACTTTCTCCTAAACATTGCTAGCTCTTAGACTATAAGGAAAATCGACATATACGATCTGTCTAAATCAAAGGTCTAAATCAACTGATTGGATATCAAACAGGGAGGTCAGAAAAAATAATTATTTCATTTTTTCGAACTTTATGTTTATATTTTACAAAAAATAGTTTTATAGAACATAGTTAAAATTATTGTTACTTTAAATTCAAGCCTATGTATATTATTTAAAAAAATCGGAACGCTAAAAATAAAATTGTTTTTCAACGAGATATATCATTCTAAACCTTCTGATTTACTTAGTAAAGCCATTTAAGAGATAATAATTCTATTATAATTATTGTTTCGTATAAAGAAAATCGTTACCATGACAAATATTCAAACTTTGTAAGTATCAGTTAGAGTTTACGTGCTAAATCTTCAAAATTGTCATGGTAAAGAAATTCTTGAAATGAAACTATAATAATAGAATTATTAATTTTTAAAAGCTCTACTTTAGAAATCTGAAGGTTTAGGTATATTACCATGATATACATTGTTGAAAAGCAATTTGATTAGTCTTTTGATTTTTGAAATAATATACATAGGGTTGAATTTAAAATAACAAAGATTTAGGCAATTTTATTACAAACGGAAATAAATAATATTTTTGCTCTCCCTGTGTAATACCCAATCGGTTTATTTAGACAGATCGAATATATCGACTTTCGTAAACTTATAATCCAAATTTCAACTTTAAAAATGTTTAATTCTTGATTTTACCAATGCTTATTCACGATCATGTTTTTGTCAATTTTACACGTTTTATTTTTTATCTGAAAAACTATTAGAGATAGTTATATGTTAGTATAATAAAAAAATTATGGGATATGAAAGTAGTTTTCAAAAATGTAATAATATACTGAGTGGATAATATAATCTTATTTAAAATAAGAAATATACTGCCACTTTTCAAATGATGCGGCAACACTGTAACGCTGAAAATATTTTTGAAAGATGGAGAAGGTGCCTTTATGTAAAAATCCAAACTTTCATAAAATCTATCACCAGTTTATAGTATTAAACATTTAACGTGCCATCGATCGCCGTGAATCACCCTATACGGGGTGTTTCAAAAAACATGTGCCATCTCTCGTGGGGAGATTCAAATAAGATATATTTGTCATATCAACATAGGTCCGATTCTGCTTTGTTTAAAAAAAGTCTAAAAAAATGTTTAAAAAAAGTCTGTTTAAAAATAAAGTCTTAATATTTTTATATGTTATAAATGTTCCATAAATTTTCTGTGGGACCTACGGTTCAGCCAGAAAATCGAATCCACATTTTTTTGAGCTTCTCAAAAAGGGTGGGGTGGGGGGCAACAAATTTTCGAATTTAAGCTTTGTATATATATATATATATATATATATATATATATATATATATATATATATATATATATATATATATATATATATATATATATATATATATATATATATATATATATATATATATATATATATATATATACTAAGGGCTGGCAAAGGTTAGTCTTGGTTCGAGATTTCCGTATGTAAGAAGAGTACAATGTGTTTATAATGTACTGAACAAAGAGAGGATAGTAAACACGTTGCCAAACGTATGAAATAAACCGAGAAACTGCACATCGCTAAGAGACGTGGAAGGGGATATAGCAGATTTGTCGCAGTTGACCGGTCGACCCAATCAATACCTCTGTCAGTACTTAGTGTTCTAGGGAAAGGTGTACGTCATGCGTTCAGCTTCACTTAATTACGTCTCGTGATACTTGATTTGTTTATTTATTAACGAGTCGTTGTAATTTTCCCTATAGCTTGAATTTTTTTAAGTGCAAGCTAGAAATACTTGCATTTTTGGTAAAAATAAGTGGAATTGAGTGGGTGTTCGATAGTGGTCGCGCTATTAGAACTCTGAATTCAAAAATCGACAATTTTTGAATGGAAAAAACGATTTTATCGAATTTTTCTTATGTAAACATATTGTAAAATATCCGATCTTGAAAATAAAAAAAAGTTTCAATATCTAAAGTGGTTCTTGAGTTATGGCCTATTATGTGTTAAAAAGTTGAGTTTTTAAATTATCGCGATTACTGACGTTTTCTCGTTATAAAAAAATGACACCCTATCGATATCCTTATAATTCCATTTCAGATGATCAGAAACATTACAAACCTAATGATTTTATCTAGTTATCCCTTGAAAAAAAAAGTCTTTTAAAAATAAGGGTATCGGCAACGCCGCAACAGCACACCGTCGCGCGTCGCGTCGGTCGGTCGCATTTCTCTCACTCCGACTTAATAAGATCCCTATGCGATTTACTTCCACACATGTAAATGCCGACCCAAAAGTAACAGTTGCCAGCACTGTATAAGCGGTTATGAGGATGACGTATAAATTGACATCAACTCGAAAGTAAGATTCATTTCCAAAACTAGATATCGGGTGCTTTTAAATAGAGTTCGGCATATGTTAAGCATAAGCCGGGTATCCACCAAAAAAGCATTCACAGCAAACGTTTGCAAATGTTTGTAATTATTTTCAAACGTTCGCAATTGCATTAAAACATTTTGTCTCCACTGGGATCAAAAACAATAGTTTGCGAACATTTGTTATCGATCCGACTTGATTGCGCGCCAAAAAAATGGTTAGGAGTGTTAGTGCCGCAGCTTTTTTATTAATTTCTGCCTTAATTAAACGGCAGAATGATAAAAAACGCAAGAGAACACATAGGTAAACATTTTTCATTGTCCCACTCGATTATTGTTATTGCCTTTCAATAAAATACGTTCACTTGTAAACGGAAGCAGAATTGATCAAAAACTCGAACCGTATGCTGTGAAAGCGTCTCCACTAAATGCGCACAAACAGCGAATCACTTTGATGTACCGACGTCGACCGGAACACAAACAAATGATTGCAAACGTTTGCAAATGCGCGTGAACACCGTCTCCACCAAGCAAATTTTGAGACTAAAATGTTCGCTAACAATCTCAAACATTTTGCGCGCTTGGTGGAATCCCACCTATACACAGCCGCGTCCACACTTCAGCACGCATGTGCTAAGTTGATAAACATACACATATTTATTATAGTGTGGACGTTTTATTCGCAACCTCTCACAGCCGCGTAGACCTGTGGTACAGACTTGAGCGCGAATTTGTTGAGTACTTATGTTTATGTGTGCGGTCTCAAGACCATTCCCATATTTTACACTTCTAAGTTCTATCTTTATCTATCCAAGAACTACTTCTATATATGGATGATATAACTAAGAACTACTGCAAAATAAAACACTAATTCACCACGATATACTAAAACTCATAAAAAATGTCTACACCTATGTGGCGGATTCCTCTTATTCAGTTTTTCATGTTTACTGATAAACAAATTCGCCTAACGAATAAAAAAATGCTTAACGTAAAAGATTATCTTTTTCCGTCGTCGAAAGCAAAAAAATAAAAAGAATAAAAAAAAACTATTTAAAATATTTAAATGATATAAGGTAAATTAATAAACTAATGTAAAAAAATAAAAAAAAATTGGGTTCTCGAATAGTTGCATTTAAATAGATTTTAAATAGTTTTTTTCTTTATTCTTTGTATTTTTTTGCTTTGAAACGTTAAGCAGTTTTTTGTTCGTTAGGCAAATTTGTTTATCAGTAAACCTAACTGCTGACAATAATTAGTCTCCGTTGGATTAAAGCAGCAGTATTTACAAACAAAAATAACTATTTTATTTTGTAAAACTCTTACTTTTGCACTGGACGCGCGTTTCGCTAACCATATTAGCATCTTCAGAATCATCTTTGATCTTTTGCATGGTTAGCGAAACGCGACTATACGAGCCCTAACAACTAAATGTTCGGACAAACAAAAATTTATTAAAAATTTTTATTTTCTTTAACTGAATTATTTACATTTAAGAAATACATTAAAAATATATTAAAATCTAACATTTCTAATGAGTATTTAAATAGTTTAGTTTCTATAAACATTAAAATAAACTGGAGGCCAATAAATTAACAAAAAGATTGCACAATATCGTGACAACTAAATGTTCGGACACTTTAAAAAATAACTGTTCTAATATGGCGTTACATCGGCATGAACTTTTGTAACAACTGCAAGCCTGTTTGGCATTGTTTTTATTAATGATTGACATACGCCAGAGTAGAAATTTTACCATAATTCACTTAATATCATCGTCAAATGGGCAACGGTTTCTTGGGGATCGTGGCACAATTTTTGTTTTGTTTTATGCCACATGTCTCGATAAAATAAGGGTCCGGACTGTGCGAAGGGCATGAGGGGACCTTGATGTTCATGTCCCTAAACCATTTTTTAGTAGTTTTAGCTGTATGGCATGTCCCGCCATCCTGTTGAAATATAAAATTATTGTCCTGGTCTTTACCAGAACAATTGGTTACAAGGACCTTTGTCCTTCCCACTTGACAGAAGAATATTTTTCAAAATTTTTTGATTTTCTGACGCATCAATTATGCCTTCTACCACCTCATACTTTTCTGGGCCTATTTTGGACATACTCCTTCAAATCGTAATGCCTTTAGAAAATGTCACTGTCCTTTTGAGGCAATCTTTATCAAATAGATACTCTAGCGGTGTTAGTTATATCGATATTAAGGTGGCTCATGTGCACATGTAATCCGTACACTTGCCATTTGCGATTGGAATTATTAGAGTCGGATTGGGAAATAATTAAATATTTTACCTTAATGTCATTTTTGTAGTTTGTGACATCAGAAGTTCCAATCCGACGCTGATAATTCTAATCGCAAATTGCAAGTTCAAGGATTACATCTGCACGCATGCATGATCTTTATGAAAGATGGACAGTGGGATTTCCTAAAGACATTATGCTTTTAGAGTTTATGTCCACAATGGGTCTAGGAATGTATGAGGACAACTAATGTGTCAAAATATCAAAAAATTTTGAAAAACAGTTTTGTGCCAAGTACGAGAGACCTTTACCAGGATATGAATTTTATATTTCAACAGGATGGTGGGGCATGCCATATGGCTAAAACTACTAAAAAATGGTTTAGGGACATGAACATCAAGGTCCCCTCATGGCCTTCGCACAGTCCGGACCTTAATGTTATCGAGACATGTGCTCTAAAACAAAAACAAAATTGTGCCACGATCCCCGACCGTTGCCGATGATAACGAAATATTAAGTGAATATGGGAAAATATTTACTCTGGCGTATGTCAATCATTAATAAAAGCAATGCCAAGCACAGAGCTATGCAGTGGTTGCAAAAGTTCATGCCGATCTAACGCCATATTAGAAGGCAGTTGACCCATTTTAGTGTCAGGAGATGGCTGTGCAATATTTGTTTATTTATTGGCCTACAGTTTACACAATGTTTATAGAAAACAAACTATTTAAATACTCATTAGAAATGTTAGATTTTAATATATTTTTAATGAATTTCTTAAATGTAAATAATTCAGTTAATAAAAATAAAGGTTTTTAATAAATTTTTGTTTGTCCGAACATTTAGTTGTTAGGGCTCGTAGTGCAAAAGTAAAAGTGTTTTGGTGTATTGTGGTGAATTTGTGTTTTATTTTGCTGTTGTAACACTAAAGGTTCCAACCCCCCAACTGTAATCTAAGAACTACTTATCTATGGATGTATATGGAACTACTTGAATATATGCAGAATCATAGAGACATACTACATACTACAGAGACTCGGATTTAGTACCATTATTATTACTACGGATTACTTTACTACCACATGCAACTAAAACGGAATGCAGGTCATTTTAAATGTTTTTATGGGTTCTGTTTTCCTTTCAAAATTTTTCGTTTTTTTGTTCCCAAGCATATTCTTTTTTGGTTTTTGAAAAATTAAATTTATGTGTCGGTTGCCTCAATGTAAAGTTATAATAGCAAATAACGCTTTGCTTTATAGTTATAAATTTGAACCTTAATGTACTTCTTATAAATAAATAGGATAGCTAAAATCAGGTGATAAGGATTTGGCAAAACTCAAACATCAGATGTAGTAGTAGCTATACTACTATTTTACAAAAATAGATTGGAGTGAAAATTTCAAATACAAAACCGAAGAAAATTAGATTTCTGATTAACATAAAACATATAAAACTGTATTATTTGTAAAATACCCTATGAACGAAAAAAAAATTCGGCGACCAGTTGGCATGGAAATGACTATCGATGACATTCTCTATATAATTTTACATACAAAATGGCCAATCTTCATTTTCAAGCCATCTTTGACGCCGTTTTTTTTTCGATCGTATAGCATAAAGAATGCAAGAAAACGAGAACTATTTAACACAAAATGGTTTATTAAAAACAAATTTAACATGAAACTAAGTCATTAGACTTTGAACTAACAAGAAGTCCTTTGGAAGGAAGCATAATTTTCTTTATGAATTATACTAGACTTTAAAACAGAAATATTCTAAATTAAAAAAAAAACAATAAAAACTAAGTAACATGAAATTGAACACTTGTGGTTTTGTTTTTATACGAAAAATATAATAAAATAAATGTATGATTCAAAATTAAAAGGAAACTAGAATAACCAAATTCTTTTATAATAATCAAATCTAATTTACTCAAACCAGTAAACCGAACTTGTTTATATTTAAACTCATATTTAACTAACCCAATAAATAAAAACACGAAGAACATCTTGTTTTAGATAAACTCAATAATAAACTGAATAAAGAAAATTAAAGCAACATAAATGTAACATTAAACTAAGGGAGAGCGCCCACCAAAGTGACGTAGGATATGACGTTGCACATACATGGCAATGATATGGCAATAGCGTTGCATGATTTTGCAGGAAGCGCACATATAAGTGATGTGGCAGTGGCACTGACTTAATTAATATGAACCAAAATTATCCAAAACGTCGCTATTGGATACCCTTTTGCAAAAAGAGACAAAGGAACAGTGGATTTAGTGTTTTTAAAGATTTGAATATCTATCCTGAAAGTTTTCAAGCATTTTATAGAATGAAAAAAGAAACTGATGTGCTAGTTAGAAAAGCCACAATCAGTAATACAAAACATATATTGTCCAAATCGTCCTTCATTTTTGCCAAATTCGAGTAACGTGTTAATAGCAAGTAGCGAAAAGTAGAACCAGTTCTATTTTTGAAGCAGTGGCATAGCATGCTACAACGACAAATGACACGTTTCTGACAGCGCTACTTCAATGTGCGCTGACACACTTATTGTCGTTGGTTCAATTCGATGTAACTTGCTAGAGCAATGTTACTTGCAAGATCAAGTGCCACGTCAGATGCTACGTCACTTTGGTGGACGCTCTCACTAATTCATTTGCAATAAAAAATATTGATGAAACACACTATATCAACAAAGATCATCATTAACAAACTAAAACAACGGTGAAATAAAATTTCGTTACAATACAGCAGACCTAATTTAAGCAAAGATATGGAATAAACTTTTTGTTTTTAGCGAAAAAAAATGTTAACATACTTTAATTTGATCTAAACGGGTCAAAAATGTTTTTTATTCCAAATGAAAAGAAGCCCTCTGACCTGCCTGATGGCCCTCTTTGTGGTTGTATTGGTGGCGAACTAGCTGGCACGTCTTGCTCCGTTGGATCCTGGTCGAGATTGTAAGAAAACTCTGGGCTGAGTACAATACTATTTCCCACTGAAAAACATTAATGTTTTCTGTTATGAAATTAATTTGCAGATTACTTTACAGTTATTACTTATAGTATTATCACAGATTATACAGATTATAAACTTGGTTTTTTCTTTATTGTTTTTCGTGGTTCCAATTTTCGGAATCGGACACTAGTTAGGTTACTAGTTTGCGAACATAGCACGCCCACTTATGGCCTCTAAAATTGTGCACAGCGCCTGACCGGACCAGTTATTAGAGAGATATCGGAAAACCGAATAGCGTCATGCAGTATTTACGCGAACCTTATCATGGTTACGATATGCGCGAGTCAATTTTTAACGCAACTCCCGCTAATAACGTTACCGCTTGGCGTAATTTGCGGATCAATTACACCAAGAAAACAATTGCTTACTTAAATGGGCATGTGCGGGTATTTGACAACCGGGGCCGACCGGCGAGATCTTTTATTTTAGGTTATGTTTGAATTGATTTGAATTATTACTTTAGTTTTATTAGGTAATTTGATATTTAAGTAGCTGGGATTAGTTTTAATGAAATAAATATATATATTGCGGATTTTTACGACATTCGTCGTCTCCCGCTTCTCAACTTCCACAAATTTCTGTCTGTCCAGTCTTCTTCCTGAAGGCCCCTAGAATTCATAGCGTCAACTACGCCCTGTTTCCATCTTCGAGGTGGTCTTCCACGTTTCCGCCGTTCGCTTGGTGTCCATGAATGAATACTTTTTAGCCATCGGTTATCATCCATTCGTTGGAGGTGTCCGTACCAACTTAGTATTTTGCCGTCAATGGCGTCGAGAATAGTTTCTTTTTCTCGTATTCTTTGATTTGAGATGTGTTCCAGTCTTGAAATACTTCTTCGCCAAAAATCCATTTCAAGAAACAGCAACTTATTTTTCTCTACGTTGTTTAGCTCCCACGTTTCAGCGCCATACGTGGTAATGCTCTCTACAATGGCTTTATAAAGTAGAATTTTTGTTTTTTGGGAAATTTTTGTCACTCCACAACAACGAGTAAAGTTGACCGATAACTCTTTTTCCTTGACCAACTTTATTTGCAATATCTTGAGTGCTTTTTCCATTTGTTGTAAAAGTGACCTTAGGCCCCATTTCGAATATTCCTCATGCAGTTTTCTAAACATATAACTGGAGTCGTCTCTGTCTCCCGCTATTAAGACTATTAATTAAATAAATATGGCCCAAAATATGGATTCCACCTCTTCCAATATTAAAGAACCTTTAAAGAGGCTTAGGTTTACAGCAGATGACGACTTAGCCCTTCTAAGAGAATTTGTTGCTTGTTGCCCTAAACCAACTGGCAGACTGGTAATAAGCACTTTAGCCCTTTAGTTTTAAAATACCTAGTAAACAAAACAATTTCAAAGTTTTAAATACAAAGTTAGGTTAAGTTTAAATAGCGGACGCGACGCGAACAGAATTCTTTCCGATCCGATAACTATAAATGAAGAGAGTTAATACCACCTCACGTAAAGGAAATAACACCGTTATTAACGTCCATGCACGCTATTCGGCTTAGCGATATCTCTCTATTACGCTGTTTATTGTTATTTTACGCCAGTTTATTTTTGCGCACAGGAAATTTTACTCGTTTGCACATCGTCATAAAAAACAATTTTCGTACCACGAATTAGGGATAAGATTTTTATCTGTATACATATTATAGTAAGTATACTATACATATATTCAAATCTATGGTATTATCGAGTAATATGAGCCTCATGCCAAGGACAATCGTCCTTTTCTCTCTTGAATCAATTATGACTGCGTCAAGGGCCCAATACATGTTTTATTATCGTTTTTAGGGCTTTTTAGCTGCGCCAAGCCAGTGCATTACATTTTTGCCAAATACATTTTTTAATGATACAGAAACATTTTTATCCACAAATTTGTCATTTAATAATAACTAATAATTCAGGGGTCCCGGGGAAAAACTTGATAAGCGCCAATTTCTTAATTTTAGGATTTTACAATATTATAGTATGGTAATCGCAAAACAATTTCCGATGCACGTAATCAACTTTGAGTGACAAGCGATTGCGACAGCGCTGCCAGATTGTGATGAATTTATGAGATGAATCTTAATTTAAAAGTGACAAAAAATATAAAAATATTTTTACGTTTTATTTTTAATTTAATAACTAATATTTTAGTAATTAATTAATTTATTTGCTTTATAGCTTATTTTACTTATTACTTATTGGCAAAAACTAGTCCATTATGAAGATTATTCTAAGCGTTATTATGGTTTTTTTATTTATTTATTGATGTACAATGTAAACACCACAAGTGGTAATAACAAGTAAGAGAGTGTCATTATTGCACAACCATAATTTTTTTATTACATACCGTATTTTTTTTTAAATAAAATAACTTGATTAGACTTTTTCAGTTTAATCAGTTTTTTTTAACAATATTTTGAAGTATCACTTGTCACTTAAATTTTAAATATGTCACTCAAATTTTAATAGGTCTAACTGGTCCCTACCAAATATGTAAACTCTGCAGGGCAATAAGTTGTTAAATCGTCCGATACATGCCTAGTAAAAATATAAAATACATGAAAAGTAAATGATAACTACCAGCCGTCCAGTGCTCTCCTATAAAATTAGTAAACTTGAACCCTAGTGGTGATAGTCGGGATCACCGCATCATTAAATTTTACCAAGTTCGCAGCATTTTTTGCTTCTAGGAAATCAAAAATATACTTACTGCCAGGCATGTCCTCTGCAGAATTAACGTCAGTAAAATCAAGGGCGGACATATTCGCCATGCTATTATTTCCTGTATATTCCATTTTCTAAAACATATTGTCCAATATAAAAATGGAATTGTCAAAAGTGACAATAACAAAGATAAAAAGTAATAAATATGACGTTTATACCAATTTTAGATCTTAATAACAATCAATTTATGTTATTATAAAAAGTTTTCAATATTTTTTAAGTAAACTATGGATGGGTTTATATCTGAGAGGTTCAGAAGTGATCTGAATCAAGCCCAAAAAGTAATTATGGAGAAAATGAGATTTAAAGTTTTTTAATGTTGCTTAATTAAAATAAAACAAGTCGGAAAAACAGACTATAGCTGCATAATGCAAGAAGTGTGACTTGATTCATTTATTTACTGAAAAAAAACAATCTTCTGTAAACGTATAAAAACGATTATCTTAAAATAGTATGAAATTGGACTTGATCCATTTTAATTCTGACCACTCCATATAATCCGTTATGCGTAGAACCAGTATTATTGGTTTATCATCATATTTCAATATGGTTGTAGTGACGGAACGCTGAACGACGCACAGACGCAGATGCGTATGAACTCGACTTAAGATTTTTGAGACTTGTCATACTTTTGCCAAATCATAGGTTATAATTTGTGTCAAATAACATTTGCGAATTGTTTTTGAATAGAGTTGAACAGAGTCGTATTAGCCAATGGAGTTTGTATACCATGTCATACCGACTCTGGGTGCTTCTAAAAAGTTGCTCACCCCTATAACTTTTTTATTTTTTCAGATAAAGAAACGTAATTTGGTAAGCTAGTATATGATATAAATTATGATTGATTGACGTATCCAATTGCTTTTGGTTAGGTCACTTCCTGTTTCACCGGACTACTACAATATTTGATTTTTAAATGACAGCCTAGTATATTTCTGTTTTATTTGATAGAAAATGACACTCTAAATATAATGACATATCATCTGTCAACTTTTGACATTTTCGCATATGATTTATTTGAAATTGTAACATGCGGTTCATAACGACAATTTGACTAGAAATACTAAATGTATGGTACCAAATTATTCGTAAAAAAATACTTTTCCAAATATGTTAATGAGCCACTCTTGTTCCATTTGAAAAAATTGAGATATGATTAAAAAACGATTTGTGCATCTTTTAACCGGCCAGGACAATACACGAAAAACATTAAATGATCAAATTAATTTTTCCAAGGTTCCTTGATTGACAATTAGTGTTTTTAACACAGTCATAGCACTGTAGATTGAAATTTAAAATAATTTTTTCTAAGCGAAAATGTTATAAGTTGACATATGATATGTCATTCTATTCAGAGTGTCATTTTCTTTCAAATAAAGTAAAAATATACAAATGGTGCTATTTAAAAATCAAAAGTTGTAGTCATTTCCGGTGAAACAGTAAGGGATAAAAGACAATTGAATACGTTAATCAATCCTAATTTATGTCATATACTAATATACCAAAACTCGTTTTTTTATCTGAAAAAATAAAAAAAATTATAGGGGTGTGTCACTTTTGAGACACACCCAGTATATGGTACTAAAAACTAATATAAAAAATAATAAACTATAGATTTTAGTACTGTAGGAAGATAGATCAAAAGGTACTAGTTAAAAAAATAAGATTAAAGATAATTAACTAACTTAACATTCAGTTAGCGTTCCTAAATTATTAAAATATTATTTATAAAATATTTTGTTCTACTTGTGTGTGTTTTATTTATTCCTGTGCAATTAAAACTTTTTTATTTGCACATAAGTTATACTGATAAGTATATGAATAAAAGTTTCTTGAACTTTGAAAGCAAGAAATAGTTTTTTCATATAGACTTATAAAATAAAAATATTTTTTTATTAATAATATCTGTAATTATTGTCATTCATTGGCCAGATTTATTATAAAAATCAAATAAATAACAAATAATGTCAGAAAGTAAAATATCTTAAAACAGCTTTATGTAGCAATTCAAAAAGAGCACATACCATGTCGTCTCCTGGATTTTGTTGCACTGGTGGCCTAGTAAAAAACGAACTATATGTATTTCCCATAAACGATGAACCGCCAAAATTTTGCTTGGTTTCAGTCTGCACTGGGCCGACATTAAACCGTACCGATTTACTTAGTTCACTTGGTTGGGGTAATGCAGCTTTTTGACTCATCATTGGACTCATTTTGACTCCTTGGGAAGGTCTAGTTGAACGCTACAAATTACAATTATTATATTAAATTATATCACTGTCCTAAGCTTGATTTTCATGCATCCGTTATCCGTTGATATGATGGTTCGACGGCGCTCTAATTGGTCATAGCGTTTTCGCGCCACTTTTCATCCGTAATTTATTACTCCAACTCGTCAACGGAGAAAAATCGTACGATAACGGATGTTTTGACAAATTTAATTTAACCTTAATAAAAGTATAATAAAAAAAATAAATTGGTCGCACTGCAATGGACTGACGCACAAAAACGAATCAATCAAAGAACGCGATATAGTATCGTCTTTGTCAATCACGCTAACATTTTAGAATAAGTAGGAGGAGCGCAGGCAGATGATTAGACCGGGCTTTAAAAACCTACGTCTGCGGTAAAAATTTACGTTTTTAATGCAAAAATTATAGCGCGCCGTGTCGATTCTAACTTCATCAAGCGATTAATCACTCCCAAACATTCGTGGCGTTTACTACAACGTCGGGAAAACGAGAATTTTAAGAAAGAAAGTTTTTTAATATATCTTTTGCTCCTGTGCTCTCCCGACCAAAGTGGGGGCCGTGTGGCTGCCGGTAGACTACTGCGGTTCACTACTGCGCATCACATCTGTACAGGGTATCCCGTTTTCGAGTGTTTTATGGGATTTCTCGTTTAAGAGTAGAGATACAATGATGCGATTTTCACATTACTTTTCTTCTTTTTTATGAAACTAAATATGCTACACATAGGTTTGTCCTAGCGTCCTTAGTTCCTGAAATACAGGGCAAATTTGTGATACGCAGTAGTGAACAGATATTGAATATAGATATAATGCGCAGTAGTGAACGCAACGTCTACCGGCAGCCAGACGGTCCTCACTCTGTTCAGGAGAGCATAGCAAAATATATATCAGCTTTCTTAAAATTCTATCTCGAAAACTTTGCTAACTCTTAGACTATAAGTAAAACAGCGAAATCGTTATAGAAATGAAAATATTAAATGACACCAATAACAAGCAAATCCAAGTATATCCGATGAACGGAGGCATGAAAATGCAATAAATTTAAAAACTGCGTAATTTTCTAACCAATCGAAGTTATTAAATTCAACCAATAAAATTAATATCGTCTCAACGTATCGTCGGACAACGGATGCATGGAAATCAAGCTTTATGTCAAAAATACCAAATAAACTACGAAAATTACCTGTGAGTTTGGTAATGGCACTGAAGCTTGCTTATATCCATGACCCATTGATAGTTGGCTAGGTTCGGCATGTTTTTTAACATTTCCTGGTACATTTTCATTCACTGTCTTAGGTGGTACGCTTAAAGCTTCGTTGCTATTTAGTGGTCCTTGTTGATTATTAATCTGTGAAATCTGTAATGTGAAATTACACTTCTACTGGATAAGGAAGAAGCAAGACAAAATCAGTATTTTCTACACATAGAATATTAATTTTCTGACTAATTGTCTGTTGATTTCGCGAAAAAAAATTTCGGAACCTTTTATTTTTTTTAAATAATTATAACTTTTTTAAGAAAAAAATATGATAAAACAGTTTCTGTTGAACCTTAGCCAAGAAAAAATTGCCGATTTATTATTTTAGTCTAATAACTATCTAGTAAACATGTTTAATTTTTGTCAATAATGACGTGTTGATTATTTCGTTTCTAAATATTCTGAAAACCCTTGCCAACTTGTATTGTAACGCTTTGTAACGCTTTTTACTAAGAGAACTTTTTATTTTTACAAAAAAAAACGGCGGAAGTATATATTTTTTCACTCAATAGTTGAATACAGGTACGGACGAAAAGTTATTACTCCTCAAAACAGTTCAAAAACATGTACATGCGCCCTCTACAACTAGGAGTCATATTGGCATCAATGTCAAATAACACCCAGACAACAATTTTCATCCAAATATCAACATTAGTTCGGAACTTTGAATAATAAGATTAAGGAAGGAACATATTAAAAATCTTAGATCCACCGCGATGGGACTCAAATATGGCCGACTTAAATTCCGGTTTATCAGTGGCGTTCTAATTTTATTTAAAAAGTGTAAAACTATGATGTAGGGTAGACCTGGGGTAGACTCAATAATTTGTTGTTTTATTTTACGTTGTGAATAAATGTTGGTAGTTATTAAATTTGTTATAAAAATATATAATTCTAATAAAAATAGATAAGTTATAATAATTATTACAAACATGCAATACGTTACTGAAGCAGGTAAGTCAAATTGACGTATCTAAATTCTTTGACATCTAATCTTTGACAAGTAGTTAATAGGTTCGTTCCAACCATGAATCATAAACAGATTTGCAACAATTTGCAAATCTTGTCCAATGCGCATGTCTGTAAAATTAATTGTTTTCTGACCAATTTGAAACTAGGGTAGGAACACCTGCTTAACATTTTGTCCGTCAAGTGTCAATTTTAAATAAAATAACATAACCTAAAATTCGTCTAAGGCAACATTGAGTAAACAAGGTTGTTGCTGTGGTTGTTGTCTCTGAAAAAACTAGGAAAATGGCTCAACAAGGTAATTATCTTTAAAGAAAATACCAATTTCAGCAAATGATTATTATATATTTTACTTGATGCAATGCACGAATATTGCCATATTGGCCAACTTGGCTATTAAAATGCTGGCTTATTTCAAACCTTTCAGCTATGTACGTGATTAGCACTTTGTCTTGTAAGACTAAAATATTCAAAGAAAACTTCAATGGAATATTGAGGCACGGTTTCCTCTGAAAATATTAACACAATAAGAGATTAGATAAATTTATGTGCAAAAATGTCGATTTTATCTAAATAATTTTGATTATAAATTCTGTGCTCATCTAGTAGCAATTCTATAAATCCTCCTCATCACTACTTTCCATGGACGACACGTCACTAATCTCACTACTATACTCTTCGTCACTCATGATATCTATTCACAAGTCTTTAATTAGTTAAACAGCCCGTTTAAATTATTCAAACAGATACGAGTATAATTAAATTTGCTATTATTGTATTAGTTATGGCGTGGTTATAACGGTAATACGCATGCGTCGGATAAATGATACGAGAAAATTTTGCAAACCGTTCTGACAGTTTTCAAACAGTTTTCAATTTAAGATGGAACAGAAAATATATGATTTACTAACCGACAGTAAATCCGGTTGTAACGCTTTTCAACTTCTGCGCAAACTCCTTACTGTAAGAAACCGGTTCTTACGCGGGTTGGAACGAACCTAATAAAAGCAAAAATGCAAGAAAAAATATATAATTAGTTAATTTTAAGTGAATTTGATAAATGATCGGTTTACTAAACGTATGTATATTACATAGTCACTTACTAGCGAAAAGTTATTCCATTATTTCACTCGATTTTTGACCGCGATCTACCGCACGCTACGCAACCTAGTTGGTTGTGTTTTTTTACAGCCTTTTTTCGATAAATCGCAAATCACTGTTAATTTATGTTCATTCATGTTAATTTAAGTTATGCCTCAATTTCCATCTAGATTTGCTACCTTTATCCTTTATACAACTATCAGTAGTAGAATAAAAAATATATAACACAAAATAAGCTCAGTAAAGACTGACAAATCCACAAAATTTCAAATCGAATTCAAATGTGTCAAATGAATCGTTAAACAGAACTGTCAAAGATCCCCACCCTAGAGTCCTTTTTCCGCCCACCATGCATGAATACATGCATGAATACATTATACTCCATCCTTAATCTTTTTATTCAAGGGTTCGGAAATTATTTGGAAGAAATCGAAATAAAATTGAAATTTCTACACACTCTATCTCTGAAACTAAGCATTTTAAGACTTACGATTATATGAGATTTACAGGTTGTTAATTTGTTTATTACTCGCGGCAAGAGCTTTATGGTTGAAATATGGCAACCTCGGCACGCTCGTCGAGAGACGACGCGACCGACGGCACGAGTCGGCAGCTTAGCTTAGTACTCATTTGGAATGTAGGCAGTGTTGCCATTCTGTTCCCCAATAAGTAACCGTCCAGTTAACAATCTGTATATGAATGATAAAAAAATAATAAAAATTACCACAATAGGATTTGAGTCCACTTTTTGACTAGCATTCGCTTGAACCAAAGGTGCTTGTTGGCTAAGAGAAACCTGACTTTCGTTAAGCTGTGACTGAATAAATGATTCCTGTGAGAAAATATTAGATCTCGAGATATCTTTATTGGATTTTCCGCTTTTCAATATATTTTTCCATCGACTCGCCATATCTATCTTCTTCATCTTTTGTTTACTTTCTTCTACTATAGCTTTATAATCCAAGGGAGGTACAATAATTGAATCTTCTAGTATCCTTATTTTGGTCGGAACTATTTCTATTTCTTCTTCGCTTTTAAGAATTTCACTTATTCTCTTACTGAATAATTCTGGTTCTAGATTTTAAAACAAAATATTGAACAAATGTTATATATCTTCTGTGAAACGTGTTAAACTCCATTATTCTTAATTCTAAAGGAGAGAAAAAAATGGTAAAAAATGTGTATACATGTAGCAGATATATTCATGCGTTAATATGATAAAGAGATAACAATAATATTTGTTGAGGAACAATAAAACTCAATATTTTGTTAACAATTTAAAGTAAAATTATGTTTTAAACATATTATTTAATTAAAGTCAAAAATGGAGTTAGCAGGTTAACACGTTTCACTGACGATATACAATCTGTTACATCGCCAACCTGAACATAGGAAATATATACACAACCAAATTTATATGGAATCATCTATTATTTTTCATAATTTTTGAGACGATTTTGTATGAAAATTTTGTGTTTATAAATAAAACTCACTCCTTACAAATGACTTTTAATGACAAATAATCCATGTAGCAATAAAAAAAAATCAGTTCCCAAAATAAACAAAATGGTATTTTTTTGTTTTCTAAAACGAAATTAAGATTTAAATTTTTAATGGCCAAAAAGCAAAAACAAAAAGAAAATTGATAATTTTAATATTCCCTGTTGCCACATCTAGCCCTTATGCAAGCTTGTATCTGCGCTGGCATGCTTCTTATTAAATTATCAATGTTATCTTGGGGTATGTTTTCCTATTCTGCTAATGCTGCATCAATAAGCTGTGCAAGATTTGCTGGATTGTTTCGACGAGTTCTAACCCTTCTTTTGAGCTAGTCCCACAAGTGTTCGATAGGGTTTAGGTCTGGTGAACACGCAGGCCAGTCCAAAGCTATGACACCTTCCGTTTCAAGACATTCTCTAGTGACTCTGCTGATATGGGGAGGTGCACTATCGTGCATTAAGTTAAAATTATCCCCTATTGCAGCTTTCCAAAGACTAACGATTGGTTCCTGCACCAAATCAACCTATCTCCGACCCGTTAAAGTTTGTTGAAGTGCTAACAATAGAGTTTTTGCTCCCAGTATAATACCTCCCCAGCACATTACAGTTCCTCCTTTATATTTTGGTACAAATTTGGCAGCCTAAAGTTTCGCTTGTCGTCCTGAAGCTCTGAGAACCCTAATTCGATGGTTATCTGATCTTAGACCAATTCTGGTCTCATCCGAAAAAAGAAAATATGTCAATTCTCAGTTGTCCAATTTTTGATGTTGAAGGCATCAATTTAGTCGGTCAATTTTATATTGCCGAGATAACAGTGGGATCCGTAACTCTCTCCTACTGTAAAACCCTCGAGCCCGAAGCCTTTTTCTTATGATTTCAACTGAAACGTTCACACCTGTAGCTGCCAGAAGTTGTCTTTGTAGCTCTGGATGAGAAACATTGGGATTTATTCTAGCAATTTGGCACACAAGGCGGTCTTGTTGTTCGGTTGTGACTCTTTGACGACTTTGTCTGGGCCTATCCTTGTGTGTTCCTAATTCCAAGTACCTTGCATAATTTGTTTTCGATACAACACCCTGGGTAACGCCCAAGAACAGTTAACCTAATAGGACTGCTCATTCAGCCAAAAGTGTCCGCCAGGTGCATGCGAAAACTACTCGCTTTGTGACGTCATTGTAGCCCTTGTCATGGTTATTAGTCCTTATCCGGCAACCAATAATACACACACGTGCATTATTGGTTACCGAATGCAAAACGTTCATTATTTAGTTTATTTATTTAAACACCTTATATGTATGCAGTATAGAAAATTAACTGTATAAATCGTATTAAATACTCGGATAATGCATTTTTAAGAACAGCAGTTCCCAGTGTATCACCTTTTGCAAGCATTCTTTTTAGAGTACTTCCATATTTTGCTTTAAAATAATTAATAAACAAAATCGTGGGCACTTAGTATGCACTTTGTCACAATCCACAACACAAAATGAACGTATTTATACACTCTATAGCTCTAAAAACTTTAAAGACACCTTTTTCACATTTAAAATTGACAAAATAAATAACTCAAAATTTCTCAGCTGTTATTTTTATAAGTTTACCATAGGCAACTAATAATACACACTATCATGACAAGGCCACGAAGGCTTTGACAAGGGCTACAATGACGTCACAACTGTCAGCTGAAGCGCGGGAAGAGGCGAACGTACGTCTTATGACCATAGTCTTATGAGAATGAGCAATCCTATTAGTTTACCGTTCTTGGGTAACGCCTACTATCTCTACTACGTCTCTTTGGAGCATTCCTTGTTCAGTGAGAGCAATAATTCCTCCCCTCTGTACATCTGTTAATCCAACATGAGGCATTTTTTTATTTTTTGGGTCGAATGAAAATTACCGGACAATCGTGATTTTAATACTGAACACAAAATTCAAAAGAAAATAAATCGCGGCAGTCGTTTATTCTTTATTATCATGTTTATTTACAACAAAAAGCCTTATCTTAAAGTTGTATACCAATTTTTATCCTTGCAAGAAATTTAATCAGAAATAAAGGATGATTCCATATAAGTTTGGTTGTGTTAGTCATATAATGGAGGAAATAGTCTACAGCCTCTAAAAAGATTTATTTTCTGTAGACTTTCCAAATAGGCTACAACAGTTATTAAACTATAAATGTAAAATGAAGAATTCCATCCGGAACAGTTATTAAATACTGTAAATATAAAAAGAAGAACAATATTGATAAAGATTATTGATAAATAATAACTGAAAATTAATTAAATATTCTGTTACAAGTGGAAGATGAAAAATACAAGTAAGTACCAGACTACTTGAAGAAATAGTCGAAAAACATTGTACCACCGCTTGGCAAATTTTGAAAAAGCATAATTTTAGGTCTTGTAAATATTCCGAATACCAAGAGTTATTGGACGGGAGTGAAGAAGATACAGCAAATTTTCTCCATTTTAAAAGAAGTAATTTTGTGAATTGTTTAGTGTTTAATAAATACATTTTCTTTTGAAGCAGTGTGTTTACTTATCTACGAAATTTATATTTGATTTTTTAAAATATTCTATTATGTTTCCGGAGTACTTTCTGTAAGTTTTCATAGACAGTGGCGTGTCGTATAGGGGGCCAGGGGGGGCGAACGCCCCCTCCGCCCCTATGCGCTTGGCGCCCCTAGCGCCCTTTGAAAAAAATAGAAAAACTAAATTTAACGCTAAAACAAACGGTGCCCTTCCGTGCCCTGAGCTCTTCAAGATAAAAAACTGACGTATATATTTCTCACATGTTATTTTTGTTTTTTAACTTAACTTAAATATAAGCAAACATTCTTATATTTAATAATTTAAATCTCTAATGAAGTAGGCGTATATACTACGTACGAAAGTTTCCATATGGGTTTGAAACTTGAAACTACGCTACCGCTAGACCCACAAAACACATACACAAGAAGAAGTGCGAGCGCCTTGCTAAATATTGGAAAGTGAAATTGACGTTTAAATTTGACACTGTTGACAAGTCTACTGCTACTAGCGCCCCCAATTTCGCTTGTAGGAACTACGGACTAAATTGTCACGCATGGCGGGAAGTTTAAAAAGATAAAAAAATTTATTTCTTCATTTATTTTTAATTATGACATACACAAAAACACAAAAAATACACCATTTTTTAAAAATATGTTTAATATCAATATCAAATATACAACAGAAATTAATTTCACCACAATAAATTAATAAAATTAAAAGAATAATGTTACAAGTAGATCAAGAGACAAAATTAATTATAACAAAACTGAAAAAAATGGCGTCATAGATGGCTTAGAAATAAAAGATATATCATAATTTTGAAAGTAAAATTATATGGGAAATGTCTTCGATCATCATTTTTAAGCCAACTGGACGATTATTTCAAACATACAAGCTGAGTTCGTTCATAGTGCTCTGAGAAATCTAGATAAACAAAGAATAATAAATTAAAAGTATTCCAGGGGAAAAGAGAGGAAAAACCTGTATCGTCTCTGATATCTGTCAGGGTATTGTTGAAAGTGTCATCTTTTTGCTCGAAGTTTTCAGGTCGATCAAAAAGATGACATTTACAACAATACTTTGCTGTAACTTTCACAAATATCAGAGAGAGTACATACAGGTATTGCCTCTCTTTTCCTCTGGGATGCTTTATATCTGTTGTTCTTTGTTTATCTATATTTCTCAGAGCATAATGCCGAACACGACTACAGTATATAATAATTTCAATATCCGAAGTGGAAAGAAAAAAGATCACCTTTCTGTTTTGTACTATGGTCTCTTTCTTCCGATGGCTCATCTCGTTGATATTTAGAAAGGATAAATAGGAAGGAAAATATAAAATTCAATTTGATTTGATTTCTACGCCGAGAAATTAACTGAGTATAATAAGGAGATTAGAAGGGCAAAGCGGTCTGACTTCAGATGCTTTTGCGAAAACATCACTTCAACTACTTATGCAGCTAGGCTACAGAAAGCTATGGCCAAGAGTGGGCCCATCCCCAACATGGCACTTAAGAAAACTGACGGAAGCTACACGGAAGGAGATGAAGAGAGAGCTAACCTCCTACTTCATACACACTTCCCAGGTAGCATATCTATTGATAAGCAAGTAGCTCCGACCGAAACCCACAATCCTCGCAGGGAAGACTGGGAGACGGCCAAGCTAGTAATAACAGAACAAAAACTGAAATGGGCTATTGACACCTTTCAGCCTTATAAAACAGCAGGAATAGATGGGATTTTTCCTGCCCTTCTAAAAAGAAGGGTCAGGAAATAGCTACACCATCTATTAAACATTACAAGAAGCAGCTTAGCGATGGGATATATACCAACCATCTGGAGAAGAGCTAAAGTCATCTTCATACCCAAAATAGGCAAAACTGACTGGGCTAACCCCAAATCATTTAGGCCTATTAGTCTCACATCGTTCATATTAAAAACGATGGAGAAAGTAGTGGACAACCATATTAGAGTAAATCATCTACAGGTTAAGCCACTGCACGATAGTCAGCATGCATATAGAGCGGGCAGATCCACAGAAACT